AGTTGTTAGCTAAGGGTCAAACGTCTTTACCACTGACAGATTAGTTGTGTAGTGGAAAAAAGGTCTTATCCTCTACAAAAGGAATAGAAAACGAATCGATAGAAATTTGGTTTGTACCGGATATACGAACTTATTATGATTCAAAACATGGAGAGGCAAATAACAAAGTTCTGCATTGTTAAAACTTCGGTAGGTGTGTTTTGGTAAAAGTTTTCATTCGGTTACGGTTACTGGCAATTAAAACACGTAGATACTTTAACGAAGTAACTTTTACTAATACAATAAAACTTGTCCATTAATGTACAAGTTTTTGGTAATGCAGTAACAGGTAGTTTACCAATGGTAGAGCTTTAATATCTTTTAACGTAATCAACCCCTAATTTAAATTTTAGCGTCCTTGAGACCTAATTGAATTTCTAGTTATTTTAATCTCATGCGGTCACGTAGAGCCTTTCATTGTATCCTAAATCATAAGTTTTGCATCTCTAAAATCAACCTTAAAGTAACAGATACAGAGGTCAATTTGCAACGTATCATGTTAAGCCTCGGTTTGTAGCCGGAACGATAAATGAATTCATTTGTAAAGCGAGGCTGTCACAGAAAGTTTTTCACGCTGGAAAAGACGAAAATGGGCTTTAGAAGATTTTAGAACTGTCAACTGTAGATAAATTTTAAACACTAGAAGTATTCAGTTAAAGTAACACTATGAAACGCCGATACAGTGGCGAACATTTATTAATTTTGCTCCAAGAAAATATTTCAGCAACAAGTTACATCGTAAACCTCAAAGTGGGACATTATAAGAAAATTTGCAGACATTAAAATTAAATAAAACAAAAAAAAAATAATGTTAATCAAAACTTCATAAAATAAATAAATGCGCTTTAAATAAAATTATGAGTACAGAATTCGTTTTAAAAATCACATGAAATATATTTAATATACAGGTATTATACAAAACGTCTCGGATAGAACAAACTGGATTTACGACGTTAACATTTGCAAGGTTTCTTAAAACTATTTACAAAATCTTATGAATGTATTCTCTTTATATAGTGTATGTTCGAAACTCATTATGTGCTTAAAATCTTCATTAATATTACCGTGCAGTATGAGGGTTGTAATTAGAATGGATGTGGTTGAACGGTCTACGTAATTATAGCATTTTGTGCTAGGTGTGAAATAATTTAATACAGATTTCAAAGGAGTGGCAAAGGTAGATTGCTTTTTATTCACGCTGTCAGCGTTTTCTATGAATGTCATACGTCATCATACAAACAATAGAGTTTAGCCCGTGTATGCTATAATAGTTCCGTTATATGTATATATATTTCGATTCGCACAATACGAACGCGTTATTGTAGTAAAGTTATTTATAACCCTATTCAATAAGCAATGCCATCGCTCTTATGTGGTTTATTTACTAAGGGTTTTTCATGAGGAAATATTGGTACGTTTTGATATATTAGTGTAAATGAAATCGGTTTCTTGTGTACAATTGTGCTATGTTTTAAAATTAAGTTGTTTCTCGCGACTTTACATGCATACTTTTATATTCAGCTACTTTTTTTAAGAATAATTATTTGCCACCTAACCATACTTTACTAATATGTGTTTAAGATGTATATTTTTTCAATTGCACTTACAAGAAATATACTCCATTTACAGTAAGACATATCATTTATTTAGTTTTATATTGCCTAAGAAATTCTTCCTAGTTATAGAATTCAATTTTATTCATATTAGATAATAAGGGTTTTTTTAATGGATATTACATTATCTATTGTCATATTTGTGATGTAATATGTCGCTACAAATATATCTCGTTCAAAAATTATTACGAGTCCTAGTTCCCTTCCACATAATTTGTATTCGCAATTCTTTTGCGAACACACCTTAGTCGCCGCAGCTGGGTGTGGAGGCAATTTTATACGGTAAATTGAATTTCCTAGAGCAACTTGTAATCAACTCTAAAAGCCACGTTTTATATTGCTATAATCTAGTTATAATGTCTTTTAATTACAAGTTTAATATAGAAAATGTATTTTTATTACTTGCTTTTGTTTTTTTATATTTTCCTTCTCTACACATGATTACTAGAAGATGTGTTATTAATTAATGATTATTGAGAAGTAATACTCATTCTCAAAGCGGCCAAAAGGTGTTCACCTTTGACTAAACTATCGCACAACCGTTGTGCGATTGTCGATTGTTTCGCAGCCGATTCAACTGTTTAGTTGCACAACTAAAAATCGTGTAGTTTGCGCACCTCCATATAAGCTCTTAGGAATGAAAGCGCGACTAAACAGTTGTGCGATAATTTGGTCAAAGGTGCACCTTTTAATGTATAATTAATTTAATTTGCGTCAAGGGAACGTTTCACAACGTGTCAGATATGACACAAAAATGTCAAGCGCGTGACAGATGGCTCGGAGTGTTGTTGGAATGTAAAGCTTCCACGAAAGTTAGGGATTGTATAAACAGAGACAAATAACGATAATTATATTGCCGAAATATTTTACTTTCTGAATAAATTTTAGGTAAATATACTAAACGTGAACTAGAGGAATATAGCTTTCAACAAAATTCACTGAATAATAGTAAAGAATATTTAAATAAATCATACCAAATATAACATCAGGAATCGACGTTTAAGTATAATAAATTATGAACAGATATGAACTTCATTCAGCACAAGTACAAAGAAATACTCTAATCCAGATTTATAGGTTCGCTGCGATCGTCCTTTGTAAGCCAATCGGAAGACTTAAAGGATTTAGTAAAGTTTCGACGACTAATGTTGGTACAAGTTTCATCTAAGTTCGCGAAAATCATTGTGAATTGCTCCGTTAAAATGTTCGTTTAAATGAATTAACCAGAGCGGTTGTCATGAAAATTCGTAAGAACGTTTTCGTAATCTAGACAAACAAAGTTTGTATTAGATTTTTACAGCGCCCTTATCTGACGAAAAGCACAATAATTAATCTAACAATTTTGTCGATGAAGTTTAGTATTAACATGATTATTTTGTAATGACACCAATTACCTTAGAGCGGGCGCACATCTTTGACTAAACTATTGCAAAGCTGTGGTGCGATTGTCGATTGATTCACATCATATAGTTTAATCACCGGTGTGCGTGCGTTCTTACGCTGTTTCTTAAAACAAATAAAACAATTGACAGCTGTTTTATACTCAAACAACGATGAATACGAAAAGTCAATTTTGTTACTTTATTAACGGTATTCGCCAAAATTATTGCATTATACAATTTGTTAATGTAATGCATTATTCAATATGTATAGGTGTAAATGAATCGTACTTAATATTCCGTTTGCAATCAGGCTCTATACAGATGCAACCAAACAGTTTCCGAGTGACGGTAATGTTTATATGCATACAATTTCTAATCATAATAAAAAAATGAACAAATACACATATAATTATCTTTCGTTTTTATATTAAGACTAGCTATCGCCCGCGACTCCAACCGCGTGGAATTAAAAAAAAACAAAAGTGAGTAGCCTATGTGTTCCTCCAGACGATCCTATACATCTATACTAAATTTTATCGAAATCAATTCAACCGTTTAGTCTACAACTCTAACAAACATCCATCAATCCATCCATCCATCTAAATTTTCGCATTTATAATATTAGTAAGATGTCAAGGATAACGAAATGTCTTTGTATAAACGTTTCGTTAGTGTGGAAAACTACGGTTTTGTAATCTTAATGCTCATATTAGAGCGGACTCACACCTTTGATTAAACTATCGCATCCCAGTTGTGCGTTGTGCGTGTCGATTGTTTTGCTGCAAATTCAACTGTTTAGGTCCACAACTAAAAATTGAGTAATATTGCGCATATAAGCTGAAAGGAATCTAAACGCGACTAAACAGTTGTGCGATAGTTTAGTCCAAAGTTTGCGCGCGCTCTTTGTATTCTTTAACTAAGTTTTTCATTTCAGTATGTATTTTTAAGCGTTTCAAGTAGTGAAAACTCTTTATATGTGCAATCACATCTGAAAATGTTGATGAATATTTTTTTTAAATCGAGAATAGTATTACAAACGATATTTTTCATTTTAAATAAAGCTTTTCATTATGAAATACTAGCTTTCGCTCGCGACTCCGTTTCCGCATTATTACATTAGTAAAGATTAGTGTTACATTTTTTTTTTCAATGAGAATTAAACAGATAAAATGTGTATCACACAAGTGTTTCAAAAGTGGAAATTCACAGTACTGAACAAATAACAATGAAACGGGATTAGCTTCATCTGTACCGCTTTGTACTTTACGCGACTAAACAGAAATGCTAATCAAAGGCTGTCCAGGCACGACAGTTGTAGCACAGTTCGCTTGGAGCAATAGAAGCTATCTCTCTATGAAACAAAGAGGCAAATTAAAAAGTAAATTATCTGATAAATGCCTTTACGCCTTAGCTGTAATAAATGTTTATCAAATAACTAGCTGTTCATGTGCGATTTTATCAGCATAAAATTATTTTATTGTTTACATGTGTCAAATTGTCAATTGCAAATGTCAAAATAACATATCATGACAAAACTTAGCAATCTTGCGTCCTTGATGTTGGCAGCAACTTATGGTCTCTTTCCCACATTAGGGTTTTTATCCAAAATATTTACTCCCTAAGTTTAATGGCGTGAAAATATAGCCTAAAGCATGTCGTAAGTGTAGGGCTTTTTATTAAATAAAGAATTATTCAAAAATATGGTGTAATTGCTGACATCTTAGGTAACAAAGTAGTGTGTTTACGCTTTATTATAATAGTATAGATATAAATCATACTAATATTATAAATGCAAAGATTTAGATAGATGGATGTTTGTTAGAGTTTGTACACTAAACGACTGAACGGATTTCAATAAAATTTGGTATAGATGTAGAGGATAGTCTGGAAGAACACATAGGTTACTCAGTTTATTTTTAACCATGCGGACAGAGTCGCGGCCGCAAGCTATATATAGATATATTACCGCAGACATAGTGCAGCAAGGCAGCTTCCTCCTCCGGGGTGACAGGGGGCTCTTCGAAGACGAACATGTCACTGTTTGATAGACTGCAATTAAAACCAAGAATTTTAGATATAATTTCGTCTAAATCTAATTATTAATATATCCTATAACATTTAGTAATAATGTAGCTTTCTAATAGTGAAAGAGTTTTTGGAATTGGTCAAGTAGTTTTTGAGTTTACTCATTACATAAAAATTCAAATCATCATCATCATCTTATCCTACTCCCGTAGTGTCGGCGCAACAGGTTTTTGTCCTCCAAACTCTATCATACGTCATCTGTCATCACTCCCTTTTTGATGTCACCTTTTACACAATACATCCATCTCTTTCTATGTCTACCTCTACCGGTGTACCACACTCATAACTAACGTTCTTGTAACATGCGATTCATCCCTCATAACATGCCCCCATGCTAACCTTTTACTCCTTACCTTCTACCACTGGCGCTACTTCACTTCCTCTAATATACTCATTTCGTATCTTATCCATTCGTGTTACATCCATCTTAACATTCGCATTTCTGTCACATGTAGTCTCCTTTCATCCGTTCCTTTTACATAAAAATATAAAGATTTCCTTATATTAGTGAAGATTACGTTTTTCCCTCTATTTTTTTTGTAAATTAATAAGAAAACTTCTATACTCAGTATTTATTTGTTTTTAGGTTGTAAAAAATTACCTGCAGATGTCTATACAATAATTATAAAGAGGATAGTTTTTTATTTGTATTGAAATAACTCAAAAACCATTGGGCCGATTATAAAGGTAATTTATCTGTGAGTAACATAGGCTATATTATTTATTTTGAGGCGGACAAAGTCGCGATCAAGAGTTAGTATTTAATATACTCACATATCAGTCTGCGAGTCGATGCCATCTTCATCATCGTCTATGGGATGATCGTCCCTCACCGTCTCCTCCGCTGAGGCTAGAAGCTGAAATATCATACTAATATTATAAACTAGCTTTCGCCTGGGACTCCGTCCGCGTAGAATTAAAAAAAACTAAGTAGCCTATGTGTTCTTTCAGACTATCTTCTACGTCTATACCAAATTTCATTATGATCCGTTCAGCCATTTTGGCTACGAACTCTAACATCCATCCATCTAAACTTTCGCATTTATAATATTAGTAAGATGTGAAAGTTTAGATGGATGTTTGTTAGTTTGTAGCCTAAACGTCTAAACGGATTTCGATGAAATTTTGTATTGATGTAGAGGATAGTCCGGAAGAACACAGGCTATATATATTTGTTTTTTAAATTCCACGCGGACGGGGTCGCGGGCGTAAGCTAGTTAGTTATATTTACATGTGGTTTTACCTACGAAAAGATAGCGTTAGTTAGATTATGTGAAAAATGTTTCAAGTAAGATATCAACTATCATTCTTCTAACCCCCACTATTCCTTACGTCTCCTAATATTTACTTTAGAGAATACGGAATGTACCAAAATAGTTAAAAAGCGAACACATAGTTGTGATTCTGACCTGCAGTATATCTTCATGCCTGATGAGGAAGTGGTCAGGCTCCGGGGCAGGTCCACTGCTCAGCAAGGGTAGCAGGAACTGCCCGAGGGCTGGTGCTTCCGCCTGCAAGAAATACATATTTATAATGAAAAAAACATAAAAAATTGCTTTTAAAAGCTGTTCATGGATAAATATTACTTCTTACTAATGTTATAAATGCTGATTTTTTTTTTTATAACAAAAGGTGCCAAACGAGTAAGCGGCCACCTGAATCCGCCAAAATGGCGAAACAACCGCTGCCCATAGACATCCGCAATTGCAAATGCGTTACCTACCCTTATCCGACAGAGGAGGAGATGCACATAAAGAGGATATTTCCCCTTCCTATTTATCTCCTCCTCCGTGAAATCCACTTTCCCTTCCCATCCTCTCCTTATAAGAAAAGGGCGGTAAAGAGAAAGGGACTTAAATTAGGCCTCCGGCACCACACTCATCAGACGAAACACGGAATTGCTTCCATTTCACGCCTGTCTTCTGTGTGGTCGTGGTATTACACCGGGCGTACCGGTCCATTCGTGCTGAGATGTTAAAGCGGGCACTACCACTTGGAAAAATTGATTTAGTTGGATGTTTTTTATATAAATGGAACAGTTTAGATGTATTTTAGAGTTTTAATGGCGTGATAATATGTAGCCTAAAGCGTGTAAGTGTAGGGCTTTTTATTAAAAAAGGAATTATTCAAAAATATGGTGTAATTGCTGACATCTTAGGCAACAAAGAAGTGTGTGTTTACGCTTTATTATAATAGTATAGATAGTAAATATAAGAAACTAACCGGTTCCTTATGGTAATCATTGCAGTCCATATCCACAACAGCTGCCTCTTTACCCGATGAAGTGTCAGATAAACCCGCTGCAAAAAAAAAAAAAACAAATTATAACTAAAAAAAACCTACCAATACCAACCAAGTCAACAGTAGGCCAGAGTAGATAACTGCCTAGTCACTTAGGTTACACTCTAAGCCCTTAAATAGTGAGATGGTGATGAAAAAATTAGGCTGCAAAGGAAGAGGAAAACGGAAGAAAGTATGGATGGATTGTGTGAAAGAGGATATGCGAGAAAGGAGTGGATTCAGATATGACTGATAGAGATGTATGGAAGCACATACTGTGCCGACCCTCCGTAAGGGATAAAGGCAAGTGGATGATGACAAAGGTAGAGGAAGACCAGAGTATATATGGTTTGTCTTAAAGATATGCTTAAGGGAAAATAAAAAGAATTCATGACTAACAGATATGTGAAAGCAGCACATACTGTGCCAACCCTCTAAACACAAGGGAGGTTGATGATTTAATAATCTACAATCTTACTAATATTGTAAATGCGAAAGTTTGTATGGATGGAGGTTTGTATCCTAAACTGCTGAACGGATTGCGATAATTGTCATAGATGTAGAGAATAGTGTGAAAGAACACATAGGCTACTCGCTTTTTTTTTAATTACACGCAGACCGAGTCGCGGGCGAAAGCTAGTATCCTATAACACTCTGTAGAAGAAGACGAATCTAATAAAACCCCATTGATCAAAATCGAATCAATAGTTTATGCTATAGGCCGTTACAAACATACAAACACACATAATGTTAAGAAAATCGGGCAACATTAGAACAACGGGACAGACATCCCTATGACAGCTGACAATATCATTCTGACATATTACAGCGGCAATTCTGGTAAGAGTTAGTTGTATTTAATTGCCTAAAAAATATAGTATATAATATTGCCTATAAAAATGTAATATTGCCTATAAAATATATTATCTGTTCCTCAGTTGGGTACTCACAAGCATCATCCAACTCGGTCCATTGATCATCAGAGTCGGAATCAGCACCAACATCAGACGCATCAGAAGGCGGGCCACGCCGAGCGAGTAACGCCGCGCGGCGAGCCACTGCGTTCCGAAGACGTGATGTCTATAAACATACATTTATAAAATTAATTACAACACTTAGAGCCTGCCCCACTACTGGCTGATAGAGGCTCAGATAGCTTAAAAATGACGTCAGATAAGGGAACAAAATCCGATATTTCCATCCCATATTTTACACGTTGGATTGTTATCATATATTTTACAATATGGTGGGACAGGCCTTTAACCTTTCTTGTTTTTCGAAAACCCAAAAAAATCCGTACGGTAGTAAAAACGTATAAAAAAGTAATAATGAAATACATTTTCATTTACTACAGGGGTCCTATTCTATAGGTCTACTATTCGTTACGTCATGAAAAATATTTATCTGAGATCCGTATTACAAATATTTTGCCACTAATTTTCGTGCCAGACCCCCTGTTATATGCACTTCATAAGTTCCACTGCAATTAAAGTAAAGTGAATACAAACAACCAATTTCCAGAGATTTTCTCTAGTTGTCAAAATATAAACATCCATCAATAACAGTAATAACAAAGATCTGAAGGTCCTCGCTAAATTAGTTTATGCACTCCCGGGGTCAGAACCCCCTTAGGTACATCTGTATAATAAAGTGCGTATCTAAACCGGACATTTGTAAGAGGGGTTCTAAACTTTGGGAACCTCTGAATTAAGTCTATAGTACATTGCACACCAATGTACCTGAATATAAGTTCAATAAGGGAGGAATATACCTCCTTGCCCTTGGCAATGGGCCTGCGACGCGGCGGAGCCCTAGACCTGGCGGAGCGGCGCCGCCCCGACCACGATGATGATGAAGACCCACTGGCCGAACTGCGGTGACCCATCTGGAATAATTATATGTGATACTTTACTTCTTGAATTCAAAGATATGTGTGAAGTCGCTGCGCAACTGGTTGACTACGGCCTAGTCACTAACTCAGGATAGCCAGCTAAGCTAAGGTAGCTAGCCCTGAGCCCCTCAGTAGGGATGTATATGTGCTGGTAATGATGATGATATTTCACTTCTTGTAACATTATAAGGTCCTATTTTTTTTTTGGTATCAGGAGAAAATCTTTGAAAGGATACCCTGTGATTTTTTTTAAAGACAGGGTTATGTGAGATTTCAACTCACTAAAACCTTGGTGGCCGCCCTTAGGTACTATTTGAGGGTCCCAGGATCTCCAATGAAATCCACTGGTACCCTCTACACTGAGCTTTTGCTCGATCTCCGGGGAAATATATGTAAAGGACACAAAGGCTACTTGTTAATTTTACTTTTTAATTTGACGAGGGCGAAAGTTAGTTATTAGTAAAATTAAAACATTAAACAAAAAGAATTATAAAACAGAAAAAATAAAAAATTATCTACAAAACATAAATATCACTTGTAGATTGCAAATAATTGCAAAAATGCAATGTTATTTCATTCAGTTTTTTATTAAGAATGTTGAAAACTTGTACTATAAAAAACTTGTTTACAATATTATTACTATGTTGCAATTCAATATGAAGAGACAATATGCCTAGAAAGAGATGGATGATATATCTTAAAGCTAACATAATAAGGGTAATAGATGCTTAACAGTGGTAAAGCCTGCTTTAACATCTTCACACAAATGGGCCGGCTCGCCCGGTGTAATACCACAACCACGTAGAAGAGAGGCGTGAATTGGAAGCAATTGCGCGTTTTTCTGATATGTGTGGTGACGGTGGCCTAATTTGGAAATACCTAAAAAGTTACTAAACCTTTCCTTTTCCACCCTTTTCCTAATAGGAATGGATGGGAAGGAAAAGTGCATTTGATGGTGGAGGAGACGCATAGGAAGGGGTGTACCCTCTTTATATGCGTCCCCTCCACTGTCAATCCAGGGAAGGCAATGATGTCTATGGGCAGCGGTCACTTTCCACTGTGGTGGATTCAGGTAATCGCTTACTTGTTTGCCACCTTATAATATAAATAAGAAGGGAAAGATGACAGAGATGATGGAAGATAGAATTATCTTGATATCACAACCATTAAGTAAAAAGAAAAAGAAATAGGTGAATACTAACAATATACAAACATCATTTCTTCTCATAATATACATGGTATTGGTATGTTATGAGAAGGGATGAATCAAATGTAACAAGGAGAACTTTAGTTATGAGTGTATAGAGGTAGACAGGTAGAGAGAGACCTAGAAAGAGATGTATGTATTGAGTGAAAGGTGACATGGTCAAGAAAGGATTGACTTAGATGACAGATGTTAAATATTTGGAGGATGAAAACCTAGTGCGCCGACCCTACTGGAGAGGGATATGGTAAGGGAGATGATGAAAAAGGACAACATACAAATAAGGGGAAAAGTAGGCATTATGTTGTGCCAGAAGGCAAAGAAGATTGCACAAAAGGAAGACTAGAAGTACACAAGGACACAAATTAATGTATACTAATATTAAAAAGAGGAAAGATTTGTATTTTTATATGTATTGAAATAACTCAAACACTACTGGACCAATTTCTTCCACCATTAAAAAGCTAAGTTATCATTGAGTAGCAAAAGCTATGTTTATTCTATTTTTTTAAATTCACACTGACAAAGTTGCGAGAAACAGAATTGAATAAATCATAGTATATGATAGTAGTCTACCTAATATTATGAATCACCACCATCATCCCCAGCTCTATAGGTCCTCACTGAGGGGCTAGGAGCCTACCCTAAGTAAGGGGTGACTAGGCCATTATTATAAATGTCTAAGTTTAAAGGGACCAATACTTCTTAGAGTTTGTAGTCTAAACTGTTGAATGGATTCCAATGAAATATGGCACAGCTGTAGAACATATTGGATACAAAATCTTTAACTCCATGCAGTTACAGTTGTGGGTAAAAGCTAGTTAGATATAAATAAATAACTATTTAATCTTACTAATGTTATCAATATGATAAAAGATGAACAGTTTATTATACTTTTTATACTATAGAGTGGCAAACAAGTGAGGGACCGACTGAATTCACCGAGAAAACAAAGCTATCTCTGCCCTTAGACATCCCCAGTTACAGATGCCTACCCTCAATCAATGTCGGAGGAATTTCCCCTTCCTATGCATCTCCTCTGTCAAGTCCACTTCTCCTTCAGATCCTTTCAGAGAAAGAAAATGGTGGGAAAAGGACTAATATTAGGCCTTTAGCACCACACTCATCAGACGAAACAGTTTTCTGTGTGGTATTGCAATGGGCGAGCCAGCCCATTTGTGCAAAGATGTTAAAGCGGGCTCTACCACTGTTTAGTTGTTGTATATATTTTTTAATTGACTTAACAGATATAGATAAAATTTGCCAACAAGTTATGCACAGGTAAAGTATCGTAAAAACATAGTATGCAGAGTAAATTAATTTTGTTTGGTTGTTCATTAAAGGAATCAGATTTAGATTATTTAAGAATATGTTTTAAATGTATCAATTCTCAATTACTAAAATATATTGAACTAGCTTTCGCCCGCGACTCCATCCGCACGGAATGAAAAAAAATAAAAGCAAGTAGCCTATGTGTTCTTCCAGACTATCCTCTACATCTATGCCAAATTTCATCAAGATCCCTTCAGCCGTTTAGGTTACAAACTGTAACAAACATCCATCCATCCATCCATCTAAACTTTCGCATTTATAATGTAAGTAAGAAGTAAGATTACTAAAGTTACATTACTTGTAATACAATAAATGAATATCTATAACAAAAATGTAAAAGTGCTGTATGATTTCAAATGTCAAGGTTGAATTGCTTTTATTAAGTATATTGTGAACTTTAAAAACCTAGGTCCAAGTAGTTGCATATTTGTACAATGTTAATACAAGGTCCGAAACTGATCAATAAATCGCGACATTATTTCAGTCTGAATACAAGATTTTTCAGTCTGAAAACAATAGATAAAGGTTTTTAGAGCTTTTTATAACTCATACTAATACTTTCTGTATAACAAAGAACTTCTTTCATGATTATCGATCGAAGAGACATAATATTTGTTATTGCGATTCATAGATAAAAAAAAATTTACAGGATCAATACCGTTCGACATACGCATATTTTTCGACATTACTGAACAAAGAGAATACTAACAGCCATCTCGAAGAGCGACGGGAAGTCCTGCTGTGGCTCGCCGTCAGCTAAACCGGCCAGAAGTCCCAGTTCCGCACTCAGGTCTGCCAATTCAGCACCAATCCTGTCCGCCCTATCGGCGTCACCCAGTTCATCCTTTAATATATCCCCGATCTCGTCGGAGACCGCAGCCACAGCTGAATACACCTCATCCGATGGCACTCCTTCTCTCACCACTTCCCCACCAGCGTTCATCTCCGAGTCCTCCGATGTCCCAGACCTATTCCGCCCTGAGCACTCCATTGAAAACATCATTTACAAACCAAATCGAGCACCGGATCCGACAAACGAAACATCTAAATACACGTTAGATAACGTCTGATCACAAGAACACAGGCGATACGGTCTTGGAAAAACGAAAAATCATTTTTTCCTAAATACCGATGGATCGCGAACTTTTTGACAATACCAATATGGCGACGATATTTTTAGGTATTTGTGACCAGCCGCGAGTGGATAGGATAATGTGTCTAATTGTATATGGCAACTTTAATGTCACATTTCACTTGAAATGTCTCCAATTTTTCACTTTGCACGGGATAAAACCATTTATTACATTGTATACAAGCGAAATACATGCATAAATGAGATGCAGTAACCAAGTAAATATTATTTGAAGCAATTACAGTTCGATAACCAACTCTTTCGACAAAGTTAATACATAAAACTTAACTCTGTTCCTATGAAGTGAGTAATATTAACTTTTCACTGTAATTTACATGAATTTTCTACATCTAACTACTACTATAAACTTGTAATTGCATTGGTACATAAAACACTGATATGTTCTATAATACCTAGATAGGGTCATACTATTAAAATAGAAATTAAATTATTGATTTATGAACTATGACTGTTTTTGGTTGTTTTGTTTCCATGCCCCACCCAAATACATCATGGAATATTATTTGTGAAGTATATATCTTTGAATACTTATACGATAGTATCTTTTCATTGGTTTCGAAAACTCAATCTTGTTTAAAACATGTAATGCAAAATAAATTGCAATATTTCATAATAATTTCTGAACGCAAACATTTTAAGATCTTATTAGAATGTCACTTTGACAATGACATTAATGATTGAACTGCTTCTGCGCTACAGTGTTTTTCCGCGCAATTTGATTACATTTTTCACACGAAAATATGTAATGCAGGTGAAATGCCGCAATGCGAAGCACGTTGAACGTTACCGCGTCGATACAGAGTAAAATAACACACTGTTTAATTCAATTAACTGATGTAATCCTCTTTAATTTAGGTCGAAGTGTAAAAGTTTTGTAATACATTCTTACATCGAGTTCCATCAAGAGGTTATGGCTGTCCAAAATAAAGTGCTTTACGCGTTTCGGGGGTGGATAGCATTCGTTGCTTTCATGGATTTAGGTACTGCAGGACGTTCGTATATAGAACGGAGATCGTTTTTAAGTCACAATGGAGACACTGACCATGTAGATGGTAAGATTAAGCATATGTCTTTTTAAAGTCTTGTAATGCTTTTGTAGTTCCTCTGATATTGCGTGTCCATGGACGTCGATGATCACCTACGTGTTCACGCTTTTTTATTATCCCTTTCTCTAAAAATGTAGATAAAACTAGTTGCCTCAGAATGCTTTTATAGTAATGCAGACAAACATTTATAAGACATTCAATATTTTAATATTATACTTGCTGTTGCATGTGATTTCGTCCCCATGAAAAAAGATAATAAAATTATATGGCCTATGTTACTCACTGATAAACTAGCTTAATGGTGAAAGAATTTTTGAAATTGACCCAGTAGTTTTTGAGTTATTACAATACACACAAAAATCCAAAAATACAAATCTTTCCTCTTTATAATATTAGTAAACATTAAATTTATATAATTCCCCCCTACGGAAGGAATAAAAACAATAAATATATCCTTTGTCAGGCAATGAAAATGTACCTTTTTAACTGAAGTTCTAAAAGTTTCTAAACTTTAAGAATTTCTAAAATTGCCTCAGTAGTTTTTGAGTTTCTAGTATTCATATATGTGCAAGTTGCAATATGATGTTTCTGTTCACCATAAAGTCGGGTAAAATATGTGCATATAAAATTCATGAAACTGAAAATCATCAGTACATGGCGGGTTTCAAACCCAGGACCTGTTAATCACTGACTCTAACTAATAACAGCATTACAAATCTCTCTCTCTCTTTAAGTGCCTCTCCATTAATGGAGGTTGGCCGTCAGCTCAGCGAACTTTTTTCGGTCTTGTGCCAAGCGAAAAAGGTGTTCTACGCTGGCAATATTGCAACTGGCATTACAAATAAACGTGGTAAAAAATTATATTTAGGAATAAACTGAGTATAAGCAAATATTAGTACTAATATTGCATATGAGTATATGCAATATTCATAGTATAGACTGCTTTATGTAGTTATGTATTTTTTCAGGTGACTTCACGATATCGAGAATGTTGGGAATGTACTCTGTGCTGAAAGCTCTGGCTCTAATACACTGTACCCTCTACATACATTACAAACCGTAAGTTTATTTTATTACCAAAGTAAATTTTTTTATATAACATAAGGTGGCAAACGAGCAAGCGGCCTGAATCCACCGAAATGGAAAGCGTCCGCTGCACATAAACATCCGCAATTGCAGAAGCGTTACCTACCCTTCATTGACGGAAGAGACGCACAAAAAGAGGATATTTCCCCATCCTATGCGTTTCCTCTACCATCAAATTTACTTTTCCATCCTTCTCATTCTTTCCTCTTAAGAAAAGGGTGGAAAGAGAATCAGACTCATCAGACGAAACGCGAAATTGCTTCCCCTTCACGCCTGTTGTCTGTGTGGTCGTAGTATTGCACCGGGCGAGCCGGCCTATTCGTGCAAAGATGTTAAGTTGGACTCTACCACTGTTAATCTTATCGATTTTCGATTTTTATTCTTATAGGAGATGGAATCGATAGATTCATAGTTATAAGTTATGAATTAAAAAAGACACTGTTTTCTCAAATTAATAATGACTCACATGACCAATATAAAGAATGAGAGCTAATAAATATTTATTACTACTACAGTTGTACATAATCGAATTGGATTTATTTATATTTATATATTTTATTTTTGTCATCGCTTTATTTTATACACTATGATCAATACTAGAATTGTCCTCCAAAATAGGTAATAAGAAAATAATAGTTTTAGTTAATTACAATAAATTTTATTTAAACCGAATATCGATAGTTCATAATTGTTCTCTGCGTGTTTCGTCACTACGATACCTGTCTATTAAGTACGGCATTTGCCTTCATACATTGAATTCGATACTTCATATGCGTTATTTATCAAACTAATCTGTCTTATTTAGAAAATTATACTCACTGTTAACATAGCTTTCTAATCGTGAAAGATTTTTTTAAATCGGTTCAGTAGTTTTTGAGTTATTTCAATACATACAAAAATACAAATCTTTCCTCTTTATAATATTAGTATCGATGAAAAAGTTTAGATGGATGTTTGTTAGTGTGTAGCCTAAACTGCTGAATGGATTTTTATGAAATGTTTCATAGACGCAGAATGAAATAACACAGAATACTTTTTTTTAATTCAATGCAGACAGAGTTGCAACAGCTAGTTTGAAATATAATTTCCCCTATGTAATGTGTCGGAAAGGGTTAAAAATTCCATTTTTCTTTAGAATCTATCCATTCTTTTAAACTCCGCCAGGTAAGAACCCATTAACCTATTTTCTTGAGTAAAGTGGCACTTGATGTTAAGTGAAATGTAACCCTTTGTTATACTTACAATAGGCTTATGCCTAGCTTGCCAAGCTTCTTAACACTGCATGCTACAATTTTTACCAGACATTAAAAGAATGTTTAGACTAGACAGTGAATAAAAAATTTTCACTGGTATTTTCTCTGAACGGTACTATATCGATTGTCTAGATTAGTGCCGTCTTATATCATTATTGACATTCTAGCTTTCGCCCGAGTCTCGGACCGCAACCGTCACCTTGCTTCGTCCCCACGTGAGAATAAAAAGTTTCATCCGTCCCACCTTTTAGTTCCACCATCAATAAGGTGACAGATGGAATTGTTATGGAATAAAATAAGTTCTAACCGTCCCATCGTCGCAAAAGGTGGGACGGGTGAAATTTTTTAATCCTATCTGTCTCCACGTGGGTACAGAACGGGGTGACGGTTGGGAATAATTGGTCCGCGTGGTATAAAAAAAAACTAAGTAGCCTATGTGTTCTTTCAAACTTTGATCTACAACTATTCCAAATTTTATCCAGATTCGATTAACTGTTTAGACTACAAACTCTAGCAAACATCCATCTAAACTTTCGCATTTATAATATTAGTAAGATCATAAAATAATTTACAGAAATGATAAGCTCGATATTTTGTTGTAAATAAATTAAACAGCCATCAACTTGCCCTTATCCCTTATGGGTTGGCACAGTATGTGCTGCTCCATACATCTTTATCAGCCGTCATATCTGAATCCACTTCCTTAAGCATATCCTCTGCAACACAATCCATCCATACCAAATTAAACAGTGTTACAAAATAAAATATTAACATTTAAATATTATAAATGTGTAAGTTTAGATGGATGTTTGTTAGAGTTTGTAGCCTAAATGGCTGAACGGATGTCGATGAAATTTAGTATAGATGTAGCGGATATACTAGAAGAACACATAGGGTATTCAATTTTGTTTTTTTTTTTATTTTGTAGTTTTGAATGTAGGGGAGATGTGAGGAGTACATCGGTAGAGGTAGACATAGAAAGAGATGGATGTATTGCGTGAAAGGTGACATGATAAAGAAGGGAGTGATGACTGATATGACGGATGATAGAGTGCTTTGGAGATCGAAAACCCGCTGCGCCGACCCTACGGGAGTAGGATAAAGCAAGGGAGATGATGAATTCCACGCGGACGGAGTCTCGGGTGAAAGCTAGTTAATTATATTAACATGTTTTGAGGATCTATCAATAGATAGTGTTAGTTTATGTGAAAAGTGAAGTGAAGTGAAGTTGAAGAAAAGTTGAAGTGAAGAGAAGTGAAGTTATATCTATGCCTCTTCTAGTTTTTTGTATCTCTATACTTCTATACTATTATAATAAAGCGTAAACACACACTTCTTTGTTGCCTAAGATGTCAGCAATTACAGCATATTTTTGAATAATTCTCTTTTTTATAAAAATCCCTACACTTACGTCACGCTTTAGGCTATATGTTTTACGCCATTAAACTTCGGGGGTAAATATTTTGGATAAAAATCCTAGTGTTGGAAAGAGACCATAAGTTGCTGCCAACATCAAGAAAGAAAGATTGCTAAGGTTTATCATGTCATGTCATTTTGACATTTGCTATTGATAATTTGACAAATGTAAACAATAAAATAAAGTTTTTTATATTTTCACGCGGATGAATCCGCATGCGAACAGCTAGTCTAATATACACATTTTTAGAGCACACCTTTGATTAAACTATCGCAGAACTATTATGCGATTGTAGATTGTTTCGCAGCCTACAACTGTTTAGTTGCACAACTAAACATCGAGTAGTGGACGCTCCATATAAGCTAGGAATCAAAGCGCGACAAAACAGTTGTGCGATAGTTTAGTTTCAGGTGTTACTTTATACATAGAGAATTGAGAGTTTTTCTTTTTAATTTCAGAGTCGTGTCTATGGGCTACTGGTCGTTGTGTTTGACGATCATTTTGTACATTACCGAGGCTTTTTATTTCCACTCGACGAATCTCAATTTCTACGTCGTCTTTCCTTGTATTTTAAACAGTAAGTATGTTTTGTTTGTTTTATAATAGTAATCTATACTTCTATACTATTATAATAAAGCGTAAACACACACTTCTTTGTTGCTTAAGATGTCAGCAATTACAGCATATTTTTGAAGAATTCTTTCTTTAATAAAAAGCCCTACACATACGTCACGCTTTAGGCTATATATTTTCACGCCATTAAACTTAGGGGGTAAATATTTTGGACAAAAAATTTAACGTGGGAAAGAGACCATAAGTTGCTGCCAACATCAAAGAAGCAAGGTTGTAACCATGTCTTGTCATTCTGATATTTGCAATTGATCATTTGACAAATGTAAACAATGGAATAAAATTTTCATAATTTCATGCGGATGAAGTCGCACGGGAACAGCTAGTTGGACATAAAATGAGTTCACATTTTTGTTTCATCCCCCCTCACCCCACCGTAATGTTTTTTCGTAACCCACATACGTAGAACCTTAGATGTTATCTTGAACCCAAGATTCGTGTCCTAATTATATTTTTGTGTTCTGTTTTCAGTAATCACACTTCTAGGACTTATTTACTTACCGGGTAAGTTGAAACTCTGGGGTACGATACCCGGCACTTCGGGTATAGACAGAGAAGTGGATGACGAAAATGTACAAATATTACGACAAATGGGTAACTTTAGAAGACGGAAAGCTGGCAACCCTATCAAAAATAAACACGTCTGATTGTCTACGGTTGATGTTGTCGGATATCGGATTATTCCCAACCGTTATACCGCTCTGTCCCCGCGTGGGTACAGATGAGATTAAGTTTCATCCGTCCCACCTTTTAGTCTGACTATCACCAATAAGATGACTGGATCCGTTAAGGAATAAAATAAGTTCCAACCGTCACTTGGCCCAAAAGGTGGGACGGATGATTGTTTATTCTCAACTGTCCCCGCGTAGGGACAGAGCAGGGTGACGGTTGGGAATAATCCCTATGGCCCGGGGTTTTAAATATATTGTCGAGGAATTTAGTCTGTGTTGAAATGTCAGGATAATGAAATCCATTGATTCGGCGTAAGAAAAGAATTGTGATATTGTCTTTAAAATCTAAACGATGAGGTTTTTTAAATAGTCTATGTTTTTTTTTTATATGTTATAAACGAACGACCACTGGTTACGCTTAAATCATGTGTTTGTACCGTTTGTACTTTTTTATTTTATTTTTCAATTTATGTTTTTGTCCAATAAATAAAAAAAACAATAAAGTTTGCTATATACAGATGAAAATTGTTCTGTGCGTGTTTAAAAATAACGGAAATACACATAAAATTGAGATTTTAACTCTAATGCTGGGATCACACTTGGGCAATACAATTGGATAGTTGCACCGCCAGACATCGAATGCAGACTCACTGGTGCCAGTTAGCATTCATACTGCGCCAGTACAGTTATTTATTGAACTACTGTACAGGCCAAATGTAAACAATGCCAACCGAATTTACATCATTCCAGTCCAGGTGAAACCAATTAAAAAAAACTGAATAAATGTATATGGAAAATTAGTGTCGGTTTAAACGTTTCCAGTTCTCGCGTTGCTATCATTGGACTGGAATGATGTAATCTGGTTATTAGAACTTTTTTGTCCGTTATTTTTTATAAATTTTACGACTGCACTAGAGATCTCGTCACTCGTCAGGATTCTTTTTTTTATTTTCGCTAATACCATATGTTTGACCCTTCTTAAAATTTGACGTGAATATATAACCCTCATTATATTCTATTCATGTATTGTTTTCACAAATCTGAAGTACTAAAGGTACTAAAAGTGTGTACTAGTACATTATCCCAATTGTACTAGTACAGTGCGCACTTACAGATGTCCGATTAAGCCCAAGACTTCAGGAATGCGTGCGAGTATCCCAATGACATTGACAGCTGTCAGATGTGACGTTTATGCCAATAAACTAGTGTTGTACCAATTCTATAGTGCGGTACTAATTTTCTTAACACAATGAATTAGAAAAAGCTAGATTTAGAAATGTAATATTTAATTATATTCCCTCCTAAAAGATCTTATTTCTAGAAAAATAGGAATCCTAGATTTAATTATTTCTAACCTCAATTTCTGTAGATATTCCCTAAAATTAGATGTAATTGGTGTTTGAAGTTATGTGATACCTCACTCAGACTTAAACGTTATTTAATGCATCCCTTAGTGTAGTTTTTACCCGACCATTGGTTTCTTAAAACTCTCAAACCTTATGGGTTCTTTTAATGCCGTCATTTTTTCTCTAATTAATAAAAAAGAGACATGTTCTGCCATAATATTATTTGCAATCTACCCACTTTTATAAGAAAAGCATAGAAATGAGAATTTGGCAGTGTAGGGGACGCATAGGAAGCGGATATGTCTTATATTTTTGCGTCTTCTGTCAAGGTAGACAAGGCAACTGTAATTACGGCCGCTAACTTAAGCTTTAAAAAAATTTACTTAAAAACTACACTTTAGTTTGTTTAAATAAGACAGATTATAGTGTGTCTAAATAATTTAGATTAGTTTGACAATTCATTTCAAATTTAGTAGGGATGGGTTGTGTGAAATCAGTCATGAATGTTATCGATTTTCGATTTTTATTCTTATAGAAGTTGAAATCGATATATTCATAGTTATAATTTGTGAATTAAAAAACACTGTTTTCTCAAATAATGACCATAACAAATAATGAGAGTAAATAAATGTTTATTACTACTACAGCCGTACGTAATCGAATTGGATTTCGCTATTATTTCTGTCATCGCTAAATTCTCTACACTATAATCAATACTAGAATTGTCCCCTAAGTTAGTTAGAAAATAATAATTTTAGTTGAGTTCGATAATTATTTAAACCGAATATCGATAGTTCATAATTGTTCGCTGCGTGTTTCGTCACTACACCTGTCTATTTACGTTAGACTTCATACAAATTGAATTCGATACTTCATATGCGTCATTTATCAAAGTAATCTATCTTATTTAGACAAACTATAAGAATTATGGACTATCGTTTAAGTGATGAGTGCGGGAGTTAATTTATCTAGTCTTTTTATCCTATCTTCCCGCTTTAATAAAATGTGTATTCTTGTGCCTATAGCTTAGAACATAGAGTCCCGACTGCGGACACTTGTATACTTTGTATGGAATGGAAAACATACAAAATGAAAAATTATGACAAATGTATTTTTTGTCTGTCCGCAAGCCGCGTTTGTTCCCGGTAACCTCGGAAACGGTTGGGCGTACTTCGACCAGACTTTCACTGGAGGGTAGCTGACGTAGACCCGCATGTTATAGGCTACTTTTTTTGAATTCCGCGCTGTCAATGGTGACCGCAGCGCTATCTCTGGAACGGATGGACCGATTTGTATAGTCTTTGGTAGTACACGTACGATGTACTAAAAGTAATATTACTCGGCACTGTACTAAGTAACGTTACCGAGGCTTCTGTTAATCGGACATCGGCATTGTGTTCTCACAAATCTGAAGTACTAAATGTACTAAAAGTGTGTACTAGTACGTTTTCCCAATTGTACTAGAACGGTACGCACTTGCAGATGTCCGATTATGCCCAAGACTATTTGGACGGGACTTTGGAAAGATGGTAGAAGGTAGATGCGTGGGAATGTTATATATGACTTTTTTAAATCCGCGCTAACGAAGTTTGCAGGCGACAGCTTGTACACAATAACTTACTATTCGGACGTATGAATAATTTATCAGTTCTATTTAAATGTATACAAGTGTCAACGCAGTCGATATCTACAATATAAAGGGTGATTATATACATTTATACAACGACCAATATTTATACAGCACTTTTTAATAATTCAATGTTATGTGATTTTTATATACAGGATGCTTAAGAAATAAGCAAATAATCTATACTATTATAATAAAGCGTAAACACACTTCTTTGTTGCCTAAGATGTCAGCATTTGCAGCATATATTTGAATAATTTATTTTTAAATAAAAACCCCTACACTTGCGACAAGCTTTAGGCTATTTTCACGTTATCAAATTTAGAGGGTAATTATTTTGTATAAAACCCCTAATATGGGAATAAGATCATAAGTTGCCAACATCAAGGAAGCAAGATTGTCATCATGTCATGTCATGTTGACATTTGTAATTGATAATTTGACAAATGTAAACAATAAAATGAAATTCTCATAATTTCACGCGGATGAAGTCGCACGGGAATAGCTATTGGTCAAATAAGACGCTTGCGTGAAGATAATTTTCTACTTTTCTCAAACACCCTGTATATAGTCTTATTTACAATAGATTTAGTATGTTCACAGTGTTCTTGTACTAATGTTAGTTTGTTTGCGTGTATATTTGTCACTGCAGTGCCTATTGTTAGGTTTCACTTTAGTATATTTAAAATCATCTTTATCATCATCATCTCCCCTGTCTTATCCTACTCCCGTAGGGCGCACCGGGTTTTCGTCCTCCAAAGCACTCTATCATCCGTCATCTCAGTCATCACTCTCTTCTAGATCATGTCACCTTTCACGCAATCCATCCATCTCTTTCTATGTCTACCTCTACCGATGTACCTCCACATTCATAACTAACATCCTTCTTGTCACATGCGATTCATCCCTTCTCATAACATGCCCATACTATAACCTTTTACTCCTTATTTTTTCAACCACTGGGGCTACTCTCAAACTTCCTCTAATATACTCATATAGAATGTATTTTAATAAAACTGTCTATATTCAGGTGGCGCTTGCTTGTATTCTACATTATGATATCTGTATCTATACATGTAATAAAATTGGAGTGTCTGTTTGTTATGTCGAAAGAAAAATATCAATTTTCGGGAAGATGTATTTGAGTTGCTGATAACGAAAATCGAGTTTTAAATTTTTTTGTCTGTCTGTCCGCAAGCCGCGTTTGTTCCGGGTAATCTCCGAAACGGATTGGCCGATTTTAAATAAACTCAATTTATTTAACCTCTAGTCGTCACCAGCTCACTATATCTCCCCACTGATTGGCAGTCAACCCTAAGTTAGTAATGACCAAGGGCGGACCCAGCTTTGGCGCCAGGGGGGAGTCACATAGTCATGGTCAAGTCAAGAGCTTGACAAAATGTGTAAATATATTTTGTCAAGCTCTTGACCAACCAGCTCAGAGGGGGGTCATGACCCCATGACCCCCCCCCACTTGGATCCGCCGTTAAGGGTGACTAGGCCATAGTCAACCACGCTGGACCAGTGCGGTTTGGTTAACTTTACACATATCTTTGAATTTCTTCGCCGATATGTGCATCACGGTGTTTTTCTTCACCGTAAGAACGTCGGGTAAATTATGTACATATGAAATTCGAAAATTGAAAATCACAGGTCCAGCGGTATTCGAACCCAAGATTTGTAGATTACAAGTCAAGTGCTTAAACCACTGAGCCACAGACGCTCTCTATACATAGTGCCAATACATGAAGGTCAAAGCAATAGTCAATTAAAACATATCTTTTGTATGTATTTATATGTAAATTCAATAGAAATGAGAAATAACAAAAGTTACCCTATTCAAATGTATACATCATCAACTTGCCCTTATCCCTTACGGAGGGTCGGCACAGTATGTGCTGCTCTTCCATACATCTCTATCAGCCGTCATCTTACTAATATTATAAATGCGAAAGTTTAGATGGATGGATGGATGTTTGTTAGCGTTTGTAACCTAAACGGTTGAACGGATCTCCATGAAATTTGGCACAGGTTTAGAGCATAGTCTGGAAGAACACATAGGCTACTTTTTATCCCGGGAATAGTTACGGTTCCCGTGGGATTCATTAATTTAGTTTTTCAATGTTTACTCGATCATTCTGCAACGGTTCAACATATCTTATTGAAATTTGGCACAGATATAAAACAAAGTCTGGGTACACATGGGATAAGGTTCATCTCAGAGAAATGTCCGGTTCCCGGGATACGTAGCTTTTGTTATTTATATAGTTCGTATGTTTTCAAACACCACGCGAACGAAGTCGCGGGCAACAGCTAGTATATAAATAGATTATACAAATCTATACTAATATAATAAAGCGTAAATACACTACTTTGTGGCGTTTGATGTCAATCATAGCGTATTTTTAAATAATCCTTTAATAAAAAGCCTTACACTTACGACACGCTTTAGGCTATTTTCACGTTATTAAACTTAAAGGGTAAATAAATTGCAAATAAACTTTCATATGTGAAAGGGACCATATACGTTGCCAACATTAAGGGACAAAGGTTATGGTAACGGTAATTTTGACATTTTCAATTGAGAATTTGACAGATGTAAACAATAAAATAAAGGTTTCATATTTTAATCTTTATCTATACTATTATAATAAAGCGTAAACACACACTTCTTTGTTGTCTAAGATGTCAGCAATTACAGCATAATTTTGAATAATCCTTTCTTTAATAAAAAGCCCTACACTTACACGCTTTAGGCTATTTTCACGTTATTAAACTTAGGGGGGTAAATATTTTGAATAAAAACCCTAATGTGGGAAAGAGACTAAGATGGTACCAACATCAAGGAAGCAAGGATGTCATCATGTCTTATCATTTTGACATTTGTAATTGATTAATTTGACAATTGTAATCAATAAAATAAAATTTTCATAATTTCATGCGGATGAAGTCGCACGAGAACAGCTAATGTACAATAAACGACATTTTCAGTGACATGTTTGTTAAATTCTCATTTCTATTAATTTACATTTATTTAACGCATATTTGTTGAAATATTATTATTTTTAAAATGAATAAAATTTTAGGTTAAAAAATACATCAAATTACGAGTGTCAGAGTGAGATAGATTCTTAGATTCTTTGTTACGTGTTTGCGAATTCAAATTTAGTTTAGCTAATCTGTTTGTTAATTGATTTTATATAAGAGTGGATATAGCTTTATATAGGTTTTATTGTTAATTCTAGCACTGAAATGTGTTTATAAAGAATTTGTAATAATTTAGCGATCGGACCACGTCATAACTAGTGCCATATCAAAATATAGAAATGTTATGTTTGAATACACGATTTAAAATTAAAATTTGTTTTTTCTTTTAACAGCGGTAGTGCCCGCTTTAACATCTTAGCCCTGCAGGGCACGCCCCCAGTAATACCACGACCACAGACAGGCGTGAAGTGGAAACAATTCCGTGTTTCGTCTGATGAGTGTGGTGCCGGAGGCCTAATTTAAGTCCCTTTCTCTTTACCACCCTTTTCTTATAAAAAGAGGATGGGAAGAGGAAGTGGATTTGACAGTGGAGGAGATGCATAAGGGGAAATATCCTCTTTATGTGCGTCTCCTCCTCCGTCTGATAAGGCTAGGCATATGTCTATGGGCAGCGGTCACTTCGCCATTTTGGCGATTTCAGGTGGCCGTTTGCTCGTTTGCCACCTTATGTTATAAAAAAAAAACCTATATCATACTTTATACTAATATTATAAATGCGAAAGTTTAGATGGATGGATGTTAGAGTTTGCCTAAACTGCTGAACGGATTTCGATGAAATTGGACATAGATGTAGATAGTCTGGAAGAACACATAGGCTACTTAGTTTCCTTTTATAATTCCACGCAGATTGAGTCGCGGGGAAAAGCTAGTTAAAAAAAGATTGACCGATTTATGGCCGGTTTCCCAATTACGGTTACAAGACTAAGGGTCTGTCCCACCACTGGAAGAGAGGGTCAGATAGCTTATGACGTCACTGTCAGATAAGGTAATAAAATCCGATATTTCCATCACATATTTTAACCGTTTGTTATCAGACAATTTACAATTTGGTGGGACAGGTCCTTATTTCGAAGTTCGCGGATTTCCCTGACAGCACGCACACGCTAAACCTTCATAATGTATCAACCAATGTTACAAGGAAAGAAATATATAAAAATAAAACGCCATTTTTCATATAAAAATTTATTTCAATAATTTATCAAATAAATAAATGGAATGCAAGTCAAATAATAAGAATAATTGAATTAACAATTCTATGTCTATAAAATATCATTTTTTTTTAAACTTGTCTTGTCATGTGTCAAAACATGTTGGAAAGGGGATTATGTTCCCTTATGACAGTGACGTCATAAGCTATCTGAGGCTCTATCAGCCAGTTGTGGGACAGGCCCTAAGATATATTAAATTCAGTAGTAATCAGGGACAGGTGCGCAAGCGATTTTGACAAAATCTTCATATCGTACGATTCCATTATTGGATACATTCGCCTCTCTAAATATATTATCCACCTGAAAAAAAAGTTATACTCTGGTAAAGGTAATTTTTAGCCAAAAGGCAATACGCATTTGACGCCAAATTGGACCAAACTTTTTAAAGTATTATTATAAAAACATACGTACTACAAAAACAACATACTATTACTATAAAAACATACGTGTAAAGAATTTGTTTAAAATAATATGATTTAGTGGCGAAATTACATAAATTCACTCTTGAAGTATTTTACTGTAAATACGATATAAAAAATTGACTTAAAAATAAAAAAATAATGAAAAGAATCATTAATTACCACTTATTTGTACCAGGAATAATAAAAATGAATCGACTTTTGACTTTTTGACCTTGAGAAGCAATGAGATATTTTCTTGTTTTTTACATCGAAGTGACATCGGAGCGTATGTTATGAATGGAATATGACAATCGACGTCACGTGTCTCATGACAACTCCGGTCGCGTTTTAGTCGCACGAAAATGATCGTAATTTTATTTTATTTTTTTAGCTCAATGGTTGAATATTTTCGAGTCATTTTTTCTGGTTATTTTATAACAAGAATCGTTTAAAAAAATACATGCATATTCCATATTGCAGACCATAATTATTTGAGCATTTGAATTTTGACATTTACTAATGAAAGTTAGTGCTCTAAAGGGAGAAATAGTTGAATTAAGAAGATTTCATCACCTCCCGCTGTGACAATCCCTCTCCCCACTTCTGCAGAAGGTTTCGAAGCTGACGGGCGGGGACTACCCCCTTCTTGTCAGGGTCGGCTGCGCGGAATGCATTTACGACCTAAAATATTAACGTTTTAATTTCAAAAAGAAAGTTGAATTTGTGAATCTTACACTAATTTTGATCTTTCCACCATCTTATAAGGAATGGATGGGAAGGAAAAGTGTTTTAACAGTGGAGGCGTAGGAAGGGGAAATATCATCTTTATGTGCGTCTCTAAAAGGTAAAACGCATCTGCTATTGCGGATGTCTATGGCAAGTCGCTTCGTCATTTCGGCGGATTGAAGTGGCCACTTGCTTTCTGTCACCTTATAATATATTGCTTGAGACTTCGCCTGCTTGCATTCAATCTATACTATTATAATAAAGCGTAAACACACACTTCTTTGTTGCCTAAGATGTCAGCAATTACAGCATGTTTTTGAATATTTTTAAAAAAGCCCTACACTTACGTCATGCTTTAGGCTATATATTTTCACGCCATTGAACTTAGGGGGTAAATTTTTGTACAAAAACCCTAATGTGGGAAAGAGACCATAAGTTGCTGCCAACATCAAGGAAGAAAGATTGATAAGGCTTATCATTTTGACATTTGCTATTGATAAATTGACAGATTTAAACAGTTTTTATAATTAAACGCGGTAGAATCCGTATGCGAACAGCTAGTTTATAATATTAGTAAGATATACCTCATTTGGCAGATTCTCCGCACGGGAATGGATATGCATTACCTCCAGGAAGTCTGCAAAAGACATTTTACCACCTTTTCCTTTTAGGTAACCTGTGAAAAATTACATCAAAGTAACTCGGAGAGTCAATGGTTCAGTGTATTAACTTGAAATCTGAGTATAATTTACATATTTCGAATTAAGTAACCACCTATAAAACAAACCTGTTAACTCTTGTATAGTCGGACTCATCCCGAGGGATCGCATCACGACTGTCAGTTCGTCTAACGACGTAATCTGACCTGATCGGGCAAATAAGTAGAAACATTCCCTGAACTCTGAAATAAGATGACAATAAAATCTATGGTTTAAAAATAAACGTCTATGCCGGTATTGATTTATGCGTGAAACGAAACGCGCTTGCGCGGAAACAGCCTTGTACAACTACCTACATTAGACAGCACAATACAAATCATACGAATACTAATATTATAAATGCGAAAGTTTAGATTGATGTTTGTTAGAGTTTGTAGCCTAAATGACTGAACAGATCTGAATGAAATTCGACATAGATGTAGAGCATAGTCTGGAAGAACACGTAGGTTTTTATTTTTTTTTCAATACCACGCGGACAGCGTCGCGGGCGAAAGCTAGTGTATCATATAATCGAACTATCTCACCTTATTCTCTGAGTATGTATGCATCTACCCTCTATCCCCTTAAGAGAGTTAAAAAATGTAAGGCTGTTGCTCGCGACTTCGGCCGCGTGCAATTTGGAAAAATATAGTCTATTTTACTCACTAATAACGTAGCTTTTTAATGGTGAAAGAATTCAAATCACCCCAGTATTTTTTTTTATTTATTATAATTTTACAGATATACATTCATTATTGGGTTAGTAAAATTTGACTTAGTCTAAGTTAGTATTGTACATTTAAAATAGATAATATATATACTTGTGCACATGGACATTTACCCAGTGCTTATAGACTGGGCTATCCATGCGACTCCCAACCACCTCCAGGATAGTGTTGCGGCATTTTCAGTCATTTCAATCCATACAAAAATACAAGTCTTTCGAACCTAACAAAAAACATCGGCAGTACAAAAAAACCATTAAAAATATCAGTGAGATCAGTATTTGGGGCGTCGCTGGCATATTTGTACACCTAAAGGGCTGCAAGATCACCCTATTGATTTATGGTGCCGGTCAGATTTATTATAATTTCACACTATCCATGTTTAGGGAAATTTCCCCATATTAAGGGAAATTAATTCCTTTGTCTCATAACTTTAACCTGCATATAGTGCTTAGAACTTAGTAATTTCATTAATTAATAAATATAGAAATACGTAATAAGTATGATTGAATAAAAAAACACGTAAGAACACATTTTTATCAATAGTAACATTACGGTGAGACAATTCCGGGGTAATTTAAATAACTAGCAACACTACAGGTATCCCTGTATTGATCAGCAGTCCCGGCTCAGCTTCTTTTGTCCAGACGATAGCTTTGAATAACTAAAAATGATGACCTACAGATCAGTAAACTGATTTATAAATCCGCTCACTTTGAACTTGCTTAGATTTTTTATAAGGTGGTAAACGAGCAAGCGGCCATTTGACTCCGCGAATGACGAAGCAACTCTGGCCATAGACAATATTTGCAGATGTGTTGCCCTTAATTGATGGAGACGCTGCTTTTATTGTGGTAGAGCCCGCTTTAACAACTTCGCACGACATGGCTCGCCCGGTGCAATACCACGACCACAGAAGACGGGCGTGAAGCAATTCCTCGTACACTCTGATGAGTGTAGTACTGGAGACCTAATATCAGTCCCTTTCCTTTCCTACCATTTTAGTATACGAAAAGGATGGGAATGGAACGTGGATTAGACGGTGGAGGAGACGCATAGGAAGGGAAAATATCTTCTTTATGTGTGCATTGTAAATATGAGTAGCGATTGCTTCGCTTTCTCTGTGAATTCAGATGGCCGCTCGCACGTTTGCCACCTTAAATTATAAAAACACATAAAGGGGATATTTCTACTTCGTACGCATTCCTCCACTTTTAAATTTAATTTCCTTTCCCATCATTATGAGGCACATGTGAGTTGGAAGTCACTGATCTATAGCTCAGTTCACGCGTTGAGCCATGATTTGTTAATTCAGTTGTTTCCAGCTCAGTAATATCGCATACCAGTCGCTCTTTTACATCCCTGTGAATCGGACGTCTGTTAAAATGCGCGGCACTCTAGCACCAGCTCGCTCTTCCTTCCCCGACGATATAGACCTGTCTTCGAGGGCCAAATTATGGAAATCCATATGTAAACTGAGGAACAACGTCTACTACGTTCACAATCGTCTATTTGTCGACACCGACCTGCCGATGTCGGAAAAGAAGATGGAGCTTATGGTGAAAGCAAGAGAAGCTGTGATGATGGCAAATCGACATATAGAAGCTGTTCTCGGACGTCGGTTGTAATAAATTACTCTGGGAATGTTTAATTTCGCATAGCATTAATAGACTCACCAATTTGTTTGTTTTTAAACTGCTTGAAGTTTAATTCACACCCATACAAGAGTATGTAATGATGCAATTTTTTTTTTCTTGAATATATGTATTTACTTTCCACCATTTTTTATAAATTATGTATAAGACAGGAAAGTGGTTTGATATTGGAGATGCAAATGGCAATATCCTTTTTATGTCCATCTCCTCTCAGATTAAGGGTAGCCAAATCTGAATAGCAAATGTCTATGGGCAGTGATCGCTTTACTTACTCGGCAAATTCAGGTGACTGCTTGTGTCACAATATAATATAAAAAAAGGTACTGGCTCGAGGAATACAGGGCTGAAGAGACTAAATTATTCAAAACTAATGGCCAAAAGTGATAATTTAAACAGCTTATTAGTGGCCACAAGGTTAGAAGACTTTTGTACAGTTAACTGCTAATATGAACACACTAGCTTTCGCCCGTGACTCTGTCCGCACAGAATTGAAAAAAACAAATGCAACTAGCCTATGTGTTCTTCCAGACTATCCTCCACATCTATGCCAAATTTCATCCAAATCCGTTCAGCCGGTTATGCTACAAACATCCAGCCAAACTTTTGCATTTATAATATTAGTATAATATACCTGTAGCTAGAGTCTGATTTGAGGTGATGTTTACAGGTAGGAAAGAACAAATTATAATCAATTTGGTGATAAACTGGTCAGAGACTAAAAAAGGCTTAATTTAAGTCCCTTTCTCTTTAATACCATTTTCTTATAAGAAGAGGTTGAAAAGGGGAAGTGGAATTGACAGTGGAGGAGATGCATAGGAAGGGAAAATATCCTCTTTATGTGAGTCTTCTCCTCCGTCGTATAAGGGTAGGCAACGCATCTGCAATTGCGAATGTCTATGGGCAGCGGTCGCTTCGCCATTTTTGCGATTTCAGGTGGCCGCTTGCTTGTTTGCCACCTTATGTTATAAAAAAAAAGACTAAAAAAGGGGATTCTCTGTGATGTCACAAACTGACATGTGTGGAAAAGTTTAGATATCTATGGCTGCAATGATTTACTCACTATAATAAGCAATTTAATTATAATTTATAACAATTTTTGGTACACAATGGCCTCATATCCATAACTAGCAGTTGCATGTGTCAGTGTGTTAATTAAACAAAAGTGCTCATATTCCCACTCATCACTAACCTCCATCAAAAGAGGGAAAGTATAGATGGATGGATATTTGTTATTACATATCTTCAAAATGATTTAACAGATCTATCTATCTTTTGTGTTAATAGCGTTTCCTTAGATATTTCGCCAATGTCAAGTATATATAATACTTTAACACAACTAAGACATCTACAATATATTTACAGGAGTTAGTTGGAAACAGGACAGACAATCTACAGCTTAATATTATGGTTAATGAATGAACTAAGAATATACACAAAAGGGGAGTTCACAAGAGAAAGAAATTGAAATTTATTGAAAACAGATTAATAATTAACAATAAAAGTTATAACCAATTAAAAGATAAATACAAATAGTGATAAATGTGATTGATCTAGTGATGCCCACACTAGGCAATGCCTGTATCGTGGGCATCGAAACAGCAGGAAAAATATTTTTATACAATAATAATTAAAAACCTACGCTTACGGCGTTTCTGTATTATAATGAATTTATGAAAAAAATAAATAAATATGCAAGATGATATATGACATATGTATAGAATAAATAAAATAAGATGTAACAATAAAACTAAGTACTTGAGAATAAATAATATATATTATAAATTATAAATATCTGTGTTATATATATGTATGTATGCAATAAATATTTATAAACGTCCTAATAATCAAGATTACTTAGAAATGCGGAGTGAAGCGATTTGAGATCAATGGGGCGAGGAATATCAGGAGGATTTAACAGATCTCGATTAAATTTGTCATATATGTAGAATGTTTGGATGATCTACAGTTAGTCCTACATCTATGACAATTCTTCTTTGAGTGTCGTAAAAATGGTGTTTCTGAACGAATTTTTTATTATTGGAGAGTTAAAAACAATTTTGTTTTCTCGTCGAAATAAATTACGACTCCAAAAAATTCAAAACAAAGAAAATGAGATCATTTCCAGTCGTTTAAAAGCGATTTACTAAAAATTTATCATAATTCGCTATTATAAAGTATAACCGAAAATCATAATAAATAGCAACAGAAAAATTTTCTTAAAAAAAATAATAAAAAACTTTGATTTGTTACTTACCGTCTATGTCTTGTTCTTTGAAGTAACGAGCCTGTAAAATTTATTTAATTTATAGACAATATTTACATCTCACTTTAATTAAATTTAAATAAATAAGAAAAATCCTTACCATTGTATAGCAGAAAATAAAAGAAAGGATATGTGATGAAGTAAATAATTAGATTAATAAATAAATTAAAGAAGTGAAAACTTTGGAGAAAGTTTTGACGTTTCAAAAACTTTAGTGACACATTTTTACGTTTCTTTATACGACTTCTAATATGCCCTTGGATTTTTTAACGGTTTAATCATTAATAAAAATGTTAAATGCATTTTCTACATATGAGAAGGGTGTGAAAATATGCAAAATACACAAAATACACTCTTTAAAACTGAACACATCAATATCATCGAATGTATTTTATTTAATTAATAAGATTATTGAAAACAGGGAAAAACCTGAACAAATTGATATAATGGTTCTCATTACATAACTTTAATTTCTACATTTTTACTTGTAATTGACGTGAAAAATGTAATTTAAATAAAATCTGAATAACCCTATAAAATCTGTATTTTTTCACACTCTGTGGTAAAATTGACACTAAGTCAAAAAAGATGGAAGAAAAGCAATCAGCTGACATCGCGTAATGATAGGATCGTGTAAAATGTTACATTTTCCATAGTTTAGTGATTCGTACTTTGTAAATTATTACATAAAACAATTTAGCGACTTAGGTAGTGTCTAAACTCTGCTATACGATATAAGTGTGTGTTATTTGACCATGGATTTTGATTACATTTGGTAAGTTAATGCTTACGCAAGCCTATTTATTGTATTTATTTTTATTTAATTAAAACTTTACGGATTCTATTATCAATGTTAATGAATAAGCTTGATATATTTTCATTTACTATTATCTTTATCGTTGTATATTTATTGTAAAATGCTAGACAAATGCAAGTTTTTTTTATATTCGCTTAGTCAACTAGATTTAAATGGAGGTCAATTATAAAGTGTATTAGAAAGATGTATTAAGAAACCTTATCCGTTCCCGACCTTTGTTACCTATTGTTATAATCACATAATATCACCAATTACATATTTTCTGCTTGTAAGTTTAAATATAAATATATTTAATTGAAAAATCTTTATAATGATTTGACATGAAAAATTCCATTTCCTCATTTAAATCATCATGATTAATATACAGTAGAACCTTGATAAGTTGAAGTCCAAGGGAAACATAAAATATTTTAAGTTACAGAGGTTTTAAGTTATCAAGGGTCTATGTTATAGAGGTTTTGGGCTCTGATGGAAAAGGGAACATATTATTTTTTGAAGTTATAGAGGTTTTTATGCTATCGAGGTTCTACTGTATTTCAATACAGGTAGTAAATTATCTTATTGCAAACTTGTTAGTCATATAATTTTGCTCGCAACTTTAACTGTGAGGTATTAAAAAACGTAATTAGTACCCTATGTTTTCTGGATTATTTTTCACATCTAATTTCAGTGATATCCATTCAGTTATTCTGTAGATATATAGTAACAAACATCCATTTGTACAAACTTGTGCATTTGTAGTATTAGTAATTGTGTTGACAGTGGTAGTGCCCGCTATAACATCTTAGCACGAATGGGCCGGCACGCCCGGTGTATTACCACGACCACACAGAAGACAGGCGTGAAATGGAAGCAATTCCGTGTTTCGTCTGATGAGTGTGGTGCCGGAGGCCTAATTTAAGTCTCTTTCTCTTTACCACCCTTTTCTTTTAAGGAGAGGTTGGGAAGGGGAAGTGGATTTAACGGTGGAGGAGATGCATAGGAAGGGGAAATATTCTTTTTATGTGCGTCTCCTCCTCCGTCGTATTAGGGTAGGCAACGCATCTGCAATTGCGGATGTCTATGGGCAGCGGTCGCTTCGCCATTTTGGCGGATTCAGGTGGCTGCTTGCTCGTTTGCGACCTTGTGTATTAAAAAAAAATAGTAATTGTGTAAGGTTTAATTTCTATCTCCAGAGTCCAAGGGCATCTCTTAAGTAACTATAGAGTATGTTACCATAAAGATATAGTTTGCCACTTACTTGAATATTTTTACTCTTTGATCATTGCTAACCTCATTTTTTTGCTCTTTGATCACCCCTCATTCTATTCCTCAGCAATGTACTAATATTATAAATGTGAAAGTTTAGATGTATGGATGTTTCTTAGAGTTTATCTTAATGGTTTTCGTCTGTCAAATATCTCTATCATCTGTCATCTCAGTCACTCCTTTCTTGATCATGTCACCTTTCACTCAATACATCCATCTCTTTCTGTCTACCTCTACCAGTGTACCTCCACATTCGCGAATGCGATTCATCACTCATAACACATATGCTAACCTTTTACTCCTTACCTTCTCTACCACTGGTCTACTCAAACTTCCTCTAATATACTCATTTCGTATCGTTAAGCTGTTATTAGAGGACTCTACCACTGTTAAAATAATTGCTATGTCCTATCTTATTCAGACAGACTTGATTAGTTATTACGATTCTTATCAGATATAATAGATATAAGCTACCTTCTGATAATCTTAATGTTATCATTTAATCAAATTGTTGAACTAATCTCAAGGTAAAATTGTTTTAATATATTATTAATACTAGTTTTTGCCCGCGATTACATCTGCATGGAATTAAAAAAACAAAAGTGAGTAGCCTATGTATTCTTCCAGACTATCCTCTACATCTGTAACAAGCTTCGTTGAAATCAATTCAGCTGTTTAGGCTACAAACTAACAAACATCCATCTAAACTTTTGCATTTATAATATTAGTATGATTAGTATGTTATGAAAGTTTAGATGGATGTTTGTTAGAGGTTGTAGCCTAAACTGCTGAGTGGAATTCAATGAATTTTGTAATAGGTGACCATAGTCTGGAAGAACATATAGGTTACTATATTTTTGTTGTATTTCTACATGGATGAAGTCACAGCTGAAAGCTAGAGATTATTAGAAAGATGTTATACATCTGCAACACAATATATACTTTACCTTTGTATTACTCAGTATATACTCTAACATACATCTCTATCTGAATATCTGAAATCACTGCCTTTTCTAGCATATTTTTATATATCATAAGGTGGTAAACGAGCAAGCGGCCACCTAAATCCGCCAAAATCGTGCAACAAAGGCTGTCTAGACATTCGTAATAGCAGATGCGTTGCCTACCCTTAATCAATGGACGATGAGATGTACATTAAGAGGATATTTTCCCTTCTTATGTGCCTCCTCCCCCGTTAAAGGCACATTCCCTATAAATGATGGCTTTTCTTATAAGAAAAAGTGTGGGCACGAAAAAGAATTAAAGTTAGGCCGGCACACTCATCAGACTGTACGCGGAATTGCTCCCACTTCACGCCTGTCTTCTGTGTGGTCGTCTACACCAGGCGAGATGACCCTGCAGTACAAAGATGTTAAAGCGGGCTCTACCACTAACAAATATATCCTCTGCAACATACTTCAGTGTTATTTATTTATTTATTGGAAAGGTACACCAATTGCATGCTCAAAGTTCACAACCAAATTAATATACCGTATACAATGAAAAACAAAGAAGCAGAAGAACATAGAGATGACAGGCGTACACAGCGCTCACAAAAAAATGATGTTTTACTTTTTAATAACAAACGGTTACTTCTTTATATGATTTTTTTTCTATTCTTTCAGCCCAAGACACTTGGAATGAAACAGCCATGGAAGAGTTGGAAACCAGAAATATATGTGTAATATATAATTATTCGAAAGTATCATAATTAAAAAATCTCGTAGTGAAAATTCTTAGTCTAGTCTGTTGAGCGTTAAACGTTTATTTATTTATATAATATTCCAATATATGTTATGTATTTAATACATTGAACACCAAAGATTAACAGTATTAGATGTAGTTTTTTGGTGTACATAAGGAGTTTATAGCCCAGTGTATATTATTATGGCAGCTACAATGGTTGAGTCACCCCCGCCTCACTTGATAACCACAATTGAATGGGATATGATGGACAAAACCAAGTTTTTTCCACTATACACATTGAGTAGTTTTACAGGTAAGAAATATTAATATATCTAATATATAGTTAATTCAGAAACATTTACAACAAATCTAAGTAATACAGTAATCCTCGATAACAAACCTCTATAACTTCAAAAAATAATATGTTCCTTTTCCATCAGAGCCCAAAACCTCTACAACATAGACCCTTGATAACTTAAAACCTCTATAACTTAAAATATTTTGTGTTTCCCTTAGACTTTAACTTATCGAGGTTCTACTATATTATAAATGCGAATATTTAGATGGATGTTTGTTAGAGTTTGTAGCCTAAACGGCTGAACGGATTTGGATGAAATTTGGTATAGATATAAAGGATAGTCTGGAAGAACACATAGGCTACTCACTTTTGTTTTTTTTTAATCTCACGGCGATTGTAGAATTAAAAAAGAAGTAAGTAGCCTATGTATTCCTCCAACCTATGTTCTACCAACCAACCAAATTTCATTGAAGTCCATTCAGCAGTTTAGGCTACAAACTAGCATACATCTAAATTTACGCATTTATAATGTTAGTAAGATAAAGTATTAAACAAGCTTGCAGCCTGAATTCGCTGAAAAAGCGAAACAACCGCTGTCTATAATCCTCAATTGCTGTGTAGCCTATCCTTAACCAATGGTGATACGTAAAGAAGATATTCCCCCTTCCTATGCATCTCTATCGTCAAATCCATTTTAAGATTCACTCTTCCATTACAAGTAAAGAGTGGGAAGAGGAAGGAACCTAAATTAGGCCTCCTGCACCACACTCAAAGACTGTATGCGGAATTATTCCCACTTCACGTCTATCTTCTGTGTGGTTGTGGTATTGCGTAGGACAAGCCATCCCTACAGTGTAAATGTTAAAGCGTGCTCTACCACGATTTGACTACCGGAATTAATTCCAATTTTGTGTATTTTGTGGGTGACTACAGATACTAACATTCTAGAATATTCTTTTATATATTTATTTTACCATTTACAGTACGTTGCGCCCTCTATCCGTTGACATTAGTTAAAACTCAAATCCAAGTTCAGCGTAAAAAGGAGGCCTATAAAGGTGTGACGGACGCAATCACAAAGATCTACCAGAATGAGGGAATCTCCGGGCTTTATAGAGGATTCTGGCTGTCTAGTGTAAGTTTATGTTTACAGCGCCATCTAGTTTAAGTGGAAAACTGTAATATGTAAAACAACGCCATCTATCTCAAGTAGATGAAATGATGTAACATTTAATATAGTGCCATCTGTTAAATATAATGTCAATTATTTTAATCTTTAAAACATTGTTTACTAATCTATAGTTTGTCTACTTATCTATTGTTATTGATAGATAAACTTATGAATTAAAAAAAACACTGTTTTCTCCAAATAATAATGACCCGCAGAACCATTACAAATAATGAGAGTAAATAAATGTTTATTACTACTACAGCCGTACGTAATCGAATTGGATTTCGATATTATTTCTGCCATCGCTAAATTCTCTACACTGTAATCAATACTAGAATTATCCTCTAAATTAGTTAATAAGAAAATAATTAACTTTATTTGATTTCGATAATTATTTAAACCGAATATCGATAGTTCATAATTGTTCGCTGCGTGTTTCGTCACTACGATACCTGTCTATTAAGTTCGGCATTTGCCTTCATACAAATTGAATTCGATACTTCATATGCGTCATTTATCAGACTAATCTATCTTATTTAGACACACTATAATAGATTATTTCTAGTGTATTTTCTATGTTAATTAATCTTCTTTTATTTAAATTTTCAGTTTCAAATAATATCGGGCGTTTTTTATATAACGACATATGAAGGCGTAAAGCACGAACTTGGGAAATATGACATCAGCCCTAAAGTTAAGGTAGGGATTGCTTGCTTTTAACATTCATCCTCATCTCCCCTGCCATAAGGCAGTTAGGTAAACAGAACAAGCCAAGGAAAACATCTTGATGCACATATCTGTGTGGAAATTCAAAGATATGTGTGTCAACACGCAATGCAGGTTGACTATGGCCTCATCCTAACTTAGGGTAGGCTCCTCAGTGGGGACGTTTAGTGGGATGGTGATGATTGTATAGTAGTCTTGGGTAGTACAAGTACGATGTACTGAAAAGTAGTACGATGTACTAAAAAGTAGTACGATATACTAAAAAGTAGTACGATGTACTAAAAAGTAGTACGATGTACTAAAAAGTAGTACGATGTACTAAAAAGTAATGTTACTCGGCACTGTACTAAGTAACGTTACCGAGGCTTCTGTTAATCGGACATTTGGCACTTTTAGTACACTACACGATATCGCTGTTCGCCTCTTCATTGTTTGATTTGATTGAATATTTGCCAGATTGAAGCATCCTATGATAATGAGAATCAAAAGTGGACAAAATTATTTATAACTTAAATTTATTTTCGCTAATAACATGTTTGACCATGCTTAAAATTTGATGTGAATATATAACCCTCGTTATATTCTATTCATGTATTGTTCTCACAAATCTGAAGTACTAAAGGTACTAAAAGTGTGTACTAGTACATTTTCAAAATTGTACTAGTACGGTACGCACTTGCAGATGTCCGATTAAGCCCTAGACAATTGTATAGTCAAGAGACTATTTGGTTTTTCAGTCGTTTATTGGCGGTGGTTGTGCGTCGATGGTAGGTCAAACTGTGATTGTACCGTTTGACGTTCTGAGCCAGCATTTGATGGTATTAGGACTGGCTAAAGGCAGGCCCGGAGCTGCTAGGAATCCGGTATGTTATTTTAGTAGTCATAATTTGTCTTATTTCCCCTTTTTATAGGTTTTTTTAAATAATATAAGATGGCAAACGAGCATGCGGCCAGCTGAATCCACCCCTACCCTTGCCATAGACATCCGCAATTGCAGATGCGTTGCCTAACCTTAATTGACGGAGGAGACGCACATAAAGAGGACATTTCCCCTTTCTATGCGTCTCCTCCATCGTCAAATCCACTTTTCCTTTCCATCCTTTCCTCTTAAGAAATTATGGAAAGGGAAAGGGATTAAAATTAGGCTTCCGGCTAAAAGTAATTAGGTAAACTAGCTTTCGCCTGCGACTCTGTCTGGGTATTAAATAAACAAAATCAAGTAGCCTATGTGTTCTTCCAGACTATCTTCTACATCTATACCAAATTTCATTGACATCCGTTCAGCAGTTTAAGCTACAAACTCTAACAAACATCCATCTTAATTTTCATATTTATAATATTAGTATGAAATTTTTTGATGTGATTGTCACGTGTTTGAACAAATCGTCGTCAATCTTAAGCGTTCTTGTTGAAACGAGCTGTTGCCCGCAAACTTCGTTGGCGGAAAAGACTACCCGTTACGCCATTTTGACAGCGCGGAATTTAAAAAAAGCAGCCTATAAAATGCCCGTCTCTGTCAGCTATCCCCCAGTGAAAGTCCGGTCGAAATTGACCCAGTCGTTTCGGAGATTACCCGGAACAAACGCGGCTTGCGGACAGACAAAAAAATTTTAAATGCTTTTTTCGTTATCAGAAATACCTCTTCCCGAAATCTAGAATTTTTTTGTTGATATTACAAACAGACACTCCAATTTTATTATATGTATAGATAGATAAACTTTTATTTAAATCATCATCTATACATGTATTTTTGTCTGTATGTTCGCAAGCCGTGTGTGTTCCAAGTAATCTAAATGTCTGGGCCTATTTCGACCGGACTTTCACTGAAGGCGACATAGACATACTATAGGCTGTCTATACTATTATAATAAAGCGTAAACACACACTTCTTTGTTGCCTAAGATGTCAGCAATTACACCATATTTTTGAATATTTCTTTTTTTAATAAAAAGCCCTACATTTACGTCACGCTTTAGGTTATACATTTTCACGCCATTAAACTTAGGGGTTAAATATTTTGGATAAAAACCCTAATATGGGAAAAAGACCATAAGTTACTGCCAAAATCAAGAAAGAAAGATTGCTAACGTTTGTCACGTCATGTCATTTTGATTGCTATTGATTGTGACAAATGTAAACAATAAAATAAAATTTCTCATAATTTCATGCGGATGAAGCCGCACGGGAACAGCTATGTATCTTAACAAAGACAAAGTCGCGGGCAACAGCTAGTTTAAATCATGTGTACCTTTTATTTCAGAAATTAAATCCTTTAGGTATAGATTTAGATAAGCGTATATCTAAATCGGCTTTAGCGCGCGAAGTGGCGCGGCGCGTGTATCGTGCGCACGGCGCGCGCGGCTACTACCGCGGGTATGCCGCCTCGCTCGCCGCGTACGTCCCCAACTCCGCGCTCTGGTGGGCGTTGTACACCGCGTACCAAGGTCATTGCGGACGTTACGTAATAGTACAATCGGGGAAATACGCGGTGTTCCGTTTATGTCTAGTATTAAAACTCTCTTGTAAATAAATGTGTGTCTAATTTAGATTAGTTTGACAATTCATTTCAAATTTAGTAGGGATGGGTTTTAAAATCAGTCATGAATTTTGATTTTCTAATCTTATCGAATCTAATCGATAGATTTATAGTTATAACTTATGATAAAAAAACACTGTTTTCTCAAACTAATAATAACCATAACAAATAATGATAGTAAATAAATGTTTATTACTACTACAGTACGTAATCGAATTGGATTTCGCTATTATTTCTGTCTGCGTGTTTGTTTCACTACGATACCTGTCTATTAAGTATGGCATTTACCTTCATACAAATTGACTTCAATACTTCATATGCGTCATTTATCAAACTAATCTATCTTATTTAGACAAACTATAGTAGTTGGGATCATTCGATGATGAAATAAGCCGCCAGAAAAATTACTTAAAACCCTTATCCACTAGTTACGCTACCTACTTTATTGGCGTCGTTTGATATGTCTCTTCACCTTTTGCCCTTCAACCTCTCTCTGTCACACTTCCGTTCCGTTCCCTGCCACGCTAAAATACATTCTCACATATGTTAAAAAAATCGGGCAACACAAGATCGGTATAACAGTGGTAGAGCCCGCTTTAACATCTTCGCACTGTAGTACTCGCCCGGTGTGAAGTGAAAGCAATTCCGGGTAGTCTGATAAGTGTGGTACAGGAGGCCTAATTTTAGTCCCTTTCAAAAGAATAGTATATCACAAACTATCGCACAGATACATTTATAAGCTGCATTGTATTGGTTTTTGTCGCGTTTCGTTTAAATATCCAAACTATTGTAGCTAAAACGAACACCGTCAATTTTCCCGATTGTACCTTTTTTTATTAACTTATATATCATACTATAGGATATGTTTTGACGCTTTGATTTAGGTGTGAAATTAGAATATGTAAAGCGAGAAAGGGACAAAAATACAAGCCAATAACAAAGTAAGGTTGTTCGTGACGGTAATTGTTAGCCAACGGCAAAGCACTTGTCGTCTGACTTCTTATGACATTTGTAACGGAAAGTTTTTGAAATGTCAACAATAAAATAAAAAACTATTTAACTACGACGTAGACTTTGACTCCAAAAATCAATAAAAAAATGGGACCTACCTGCATTACCTTTCGGATAAAAAATGAATTATCAAAATCGGTCCACAAGCGGCGGAGTTATGCCGTAACACACATTAAAAAAAATAAAAAAAAAACATACAGACGAATTGAGTACCTCCTTCTTTTGGGATGTCGGTCAAAAACTTAATACAGTAGAACCTCGATAAGTTAAAGTCCAAGGGAAACACGAAATATTTTAAGTTATAGAGGTTTTAAGTTATCAAGGGTCTTTGTAGAGGTTTTGGGCTCTGATGGGAAGGGAACATATTTTTTGAAGTTATAGAGGTTTTTATGTTACCGAGGTTTGAGTTATCGAAGTCTTACTGTACGGAAACAAATACATTAAGTTTTGGAGATATTTAGTAACTAATATCCACATAGATTTCCCCTATTTTGACATGTTGACATGAACAGAATATTTTATTTATATACAGGATACATAATATTTTATGTAATTCTACACAAAAAAAAACCAGCCTACCCGCTGACAAACCAATTATATGGTTTTTGCGTGGCCATATTTGTGCATATTTTTTAATTTGTGTCATGTAATTATTTTCAATAAATAATAATAAATATTTGTCGTATTGCCATATAAAAAAAATAATCTATCTATACAGGGTATATTAATTTAAAAATATATTGTTTTAATATTTAATTATATAGTTTTCTTTTAATTTTCAGATGAATTGTTAAAATTAAGTCCTGCTTGGATATCACATTTGTTCATACAATGTGTTGCGGGAACTTTGGGAGGATTTACTACGACAATACTGACAAACCCACTAGATATAGTAAGAGCTAGGTTACAAGTAAGTTTTTTTATATTATCATGTGCCAAACGAACAAGGCCACAATGGCGAAGTGACCCACATTTGTAGAATCGCTGCCTACCCTTAATTGAAGGAGACATATCTATACTTTTATACTAACTATTTTGTTGTCTAAGATGTCAGCAATTACAGCATATTTTTGAATAATTCTTTCTTTAATAAAAAGCCCTACACTTGCATCACGCTTTAGGCTCATTTACGCTTTTAAACTTAGGGAGTAAGTAATTCGGAAAAATCCGTTATGCGGGAAAGAGACAAAAACTACAAGCCAATAGCAGAAACGTTGCCATGGTTACCAAAATCATCCAATAACAACGGCCTTTGCTTTGTCGACCATTTGAATTTTGACATTAGCAATAAAAGAAATGGATTCTAAGCAATAAAATACAGTTTTTATAATATCATGTGGATGAAGCTGCAAGGGAGTAGATAGTATTAAACCGATTTTGATGAATTAACTAGTATTCAATATTATATTTTACTTTGTAAAGTTATATAACTGTAACAACGTAATTAATTTTACTCAAACCATAACTGCCGCCGGAATGGCGCGCTATAATACGTCAGAATGACATTGACAGCTGTCATAGGGATGGGACGTATGTGTGTTACCGATTTTTACTTAACGGTAGTATGAAATCGTGTCTTTTTTAAAACAATTTATTTAATTGATGCTATCGTCAGGACTCAGGATCGCGCGCCAATCTAATTCGTCTAATAACATTGACAGCTGTCAGAGATGTGACGTTTACGCCAATAACCTAGTGTTGTGCCAATTCTATAGCGCTGTACACTTTTCAGGTGGAAGGTGTTGGTTCAATGCGTGAAGTATTCAAAGAGCTTTGGCGGGAAGAAGGTCTAATAGGTCTGTACGCTAAAGGTCTGTCAGCGCGGCTGGCGCAGTCCGCCTGCTTCTCCTTCTCCATCATCCTGGGATATGAGACTATCAAACGGTTCAGCGTCAACGATGAGTTCAGGACGAGGGTTAGGTGGTGATAATAAAATTGTAAATTAACATATGAAGTTTTATTTGTTTCTAACACTATTAGTAAGAGCAAGGATTGCTTCCTCAAGATAATCGAAAAAAGATATTAAATTTTTGATATTATTATTATTGGCAACACTGCCTCGCCATAATAGGAATCACTTGCTTCGACCAATAGCGTTACGTTTTAGAACTTGGCGAGGGAGTTTTGAATCAGACATTTTTTAATGATTACATTACGGGGCTAGACGCATATAAAAAGGAGATTTCCCCTTTCTATGCGTCTCCTCCACAAGTCCGCTTATTCCTCCCATCGTTTCTTAAGAAAAGAGTGGAAACGGACTAAAATTAGGCCTCCGGCTCCACACTCATCAGACTACGCGGAATTTTTTCCACTTCCCGCCTGTCTTCTGTTTGGTCGCGTTGTCTGTTGCGAGCCCTACAATGCGGACAAGTTAAAGCGACATCTACCACTGTTAAATAAGGTTTTAATAATAATACTTTGAATAAGGGGATATATGCCAGTAAAATATAGTAACTGGCCCCAACTTTTGGCACTTGCCAGCTCCTTACGACTAGGCCTTGACTACTTCGGCGATACTTATGACTAAAGCCATAGACAATTTTAAAGTAAAAATTCCTGTTCACTTGAAATGTTGAAAATATTTGTCGTCTAAATTGTTATCTACCAGTGAGCATTTACAATATTTTTTTATCTTATCCTATCTTGAAATGTACACAAAACTGGCCTCAATTTCTTAACAATATTATAAGGACTTTATTTCTCCCTTTACTTTCATAGATCTTTATTTATTATTTGCTTACGCCCGCGACTCCTTCCGCGTGGAATTTTAAAAAAAGTAAGTATTGTTCCGGACTCATTAACATCTATGCCTTTCATCGATATCCGTTCAAAAATTTCGGACAAACTATAAATATAAAACTATAAAATAATAGTATGATAGCGGTTTCCCGCGATTTCGTTTATACATTAGCTACTTTCCAGTAAAAGTCCCTTAACCATCCATGGATGAATGGATGTTTGTCTCCACATATCTCCAAAACGGCTTCAAAGCGTCACGAAAGGTGTAGAACATAGTCTATCTACGGAACACATTGATAATTCGTTTTTTAAAGTCGCGCGGGAAACAGCATGTTAATAAAGATGTCCGTTAAACTCAACAGTTAGCAACAATTTTATCGCTATTCATTTAATGTGATAACGAATAATAATAAGTTAACCATACACGTGCAATCTCCATTGTCTACGGATCAGGTGACGTATCGCGCCATATTTAATGTCAGAGTTCGTTGACAGATAAGGAAATGGCGGGAAACGGTTTTCATTAAGTAAATATCCGTTTCGTTTATCGTAAATTATTGTGATTGAAAGATATATCTGAATGAACTGTTGCCCGCGACTTGGTCCGCGTGTTATTATAATAGAAAACATACGAACTATATAAATAACAAAAAGCTACATATCCCTCGGAAACCGGACATTTCTCGGGGATGAACTTCATCCCATGTGTACTCCAGACTTTGTTTTATATCTATGCCAAATTTCAAATGGATATGTTGAACCGTTGCAGAATGATCGAGTAAACATTAAAAAACTAAATTAATGAATCCCACGGGAACCGTAACTATTCCCGGGATAAAAAGTACCCTATGTGTTCTTCCAGACTATGCTCTAAACCTGTGCCAAATTTCATGGAGATCCGTTCAGCCGTTTAGGCTACAAACGCTAACAAATATAAATATCTGTTGAAATAATTATAATACAGAAGGAAAAACGATGTTACTCCAATTTATTAAAACATTTTTATTTTGTAAAAAATAATAAAACAAAGAAACAAGTCATCCTTGACAAAAAACATTTTTTGACAGAATATTTTTGATTAAAAAAGAACAGAAATTCCAAGGAGTATTTCAACAACATCCATCCATCCATCTAAACTTTCGCATTTATAATATTAGTAAGATTAACGTACGAAGTAAACAAAAAGCTGTTGGTTTAATATGTAAAGAGTTTTGAATAAAAATATTTCGATGATAACAAGCCTGAAATTCGTTTTTTCTTGGTATAATTATGTACATCTTGTTATGAATACCCTTTAGGTTACGGGTTGGATTGTGTTGTGATTTCCCTTTGTTACAATTAATCATAAACTATACAATAAACGGCAGTAATGCAAAGTCTAAATGAGATCAATGAGTCAATTTCCTGTAATTTTTAAATACAATGTAGCAAACGATGACAGTAAAAAATTGTTTCGAATGATGTTATACAAATGTACAGTCGGGGAATTTGTTAGCGTACCACTTTAAAACATTTAGTAAAGGTCGTGGTACACGAGTAATTGCGTTTTAATATTATCTTGTCGTATGCGGAACTTACTGCTAGCTGATTGGTTATTTTTAAAAGGCGGAGTTCGTCTCTTTCCAAGAAACAATAGGCAATATGCATATGACTCCAAATTGTACCAAACTTTTTTTAAGTATACTTTATTACTATAAAAACAGTCCTGCAAAGATTTTTTTAAAGATAATGTGATTTAGTGGCAAAATTTAATCATTAAAAAATATGGCGTCGCTGTGTTGACAATACACAGTTCATTTACGTTAGTTTATATAGAAATACACTCTTGAAGTTATTACTGTAAACACGATATCAAAACCAACTTTAAAATAAAAGAAATTAATGAATGGAATTATTAATTACCATTTATTTGTACCAGGAATAATAAAAATGAAACGATTTTTGACTTTTTGACCTTGAGAAACTTTGTTGTGTTTTACGTCGAAGTGACATCTGAGCGTATGTTATGAATGGAATAGACGATTGACGTCAATCGTCTCATGACAACTCCGGTCGCGTTTTAATCGCTCGAAAATGGTCGTAATTTTATTTCATTATTTTTAGCTTAATGGTTGAATATTTTCGCGTCAATTTTTTTTGTGGTTAATTTATAACAACTAGAATCGTTTAAAAAAAGAAAAAAAATACATGCATATTCCCTATTCAATATTTCTAAGTGAATCACCGCGGCTTTCCACGACTGTAAATTGCACCTACTTAACATGCATATTTCCGTATTAAATAATTCAATTGTATGCAGTTTTATTGACACACTTAAGTAGCAATATTGCAAAATTGTTTTTCTTACAACGCAACTAGTTACATACTGTGACTGTCAAGTTACAGTTTAAATTGTAAATAATTTTCTAATTTGAAGAAAAATCGATAAAAAAATAAATGAATACAGTACTGATAAGGTTAGATTTTTTGAAGTTCCAAATCAATACGACTTAGGGTCCTTCAAGAAGCGAGCCTATCATGTCCTAAAAGGCCGGCAACGCATCTGTAGTTCCTCTGTTACGGATGTCCATGGGCGTCGTTGACCACCTCGGTGTTCTCGCCGCTCGTTTGCCTTTTATTATACGAAAAAAAAGTTTTTTTTAACAAGAGAAGAGGGCAAACGAGCGATGAACAAAGAGGTGGTCAACGACGCCCATAGACATCCGCAATAGAGGACCTACAGATTCGTTGCCTGGCCTAAGTTGGTTAAACATCTGAATTTAATAATACAATAGATATAAAAATTACAGTGGTAGTGCCCGCTTTAACATCTTAGCACGAATAGGCCGGCACGCCCCCAGTAATACCACGACCACACAGAAGACAGGCGTGAAATGGAAGCAATTCCGTGTTTCGTCTGATGAGTGTGGTGCCGGAGGCCTAATTTTAGTCCCTTTCTCTTTACCACCCTTTTCTTATGAGGACAGGATGGGAAGAGAAAATGGATTTGACGGTGGAGATACATAGGAAGGGGAAATATCCTCTTTATGTGCGTCTCCTCCGTCGGATAAGGGCAGGCAACGCATCTGCATCTGCAATTGCGGATGTCTATGGGCAGTCGCTTCGCCATTTTGGCGGATTCAGGTGGCCGCTTTCTCGTTTGCCACCTTATGTTATAAAAAAAAATATGTTTGAAATCAAGTTTTCTTTAATTTATACAAACACACAGAATAATTAGATTATTAGTATTATACAGTAGTAGTTTAATTTTGCAATATCAGAATTAATTTTTGTGTCAATTAATTTGAACTATTATAATCAGCATTTATTTAGTTTTGCAAATCATTTTTAAATAAGATAAGAATTGTTTTGACTAAGTTTTAATTGCGAAATTTATATGTATTTACTGTGGGTTCTCACTTCGAAACATTAGCTTTTTCCCGTGACTTCGTCCAGGCGGAATTAAATAAAATATCGAAGCAAACTCTGTTACTCAGAGATATTGTAGCTTTTTAATGGTGAAAAAAATCGAAATCGTTCCTTAACAGTTGTAGAGCCCGCTTTAACATCTTCGCACGAATGTGCCGGCTCGCTCTAGCAATACCACGACCACACAGAAAACAGGCGTGAAGTAGAAGCAATCCGCGTTTCGTCTGTGTGTGGTGCCGGAGGCCTAATTTTAGTCCCTTTCCCTTTCCACACTTTTCTAAGAGGAAAGGATGAGAAGGAAAAGTGGATTTGAGGGTGGAGACGCATAGGAAGGGGAAATGTCCTCTTTATGTGCGTCTCCGTCAATGAAGGGTAGGCAGCGCTGCAATTGCGGATGTTTATGTGCATTTGCTTTCCATTTCGGTGGATTCAGGCCGCTTGCTCTTTTACCACCTTATATTATAAAAAAGTCATTTTTCAAATTTATTACACGAAAACACAAATCTTTTCTCTTCGAAAAGTTCTAAAGCCGTAGACTTGCATTCAAAAATCGTAACCATTTTAGAGTGGTCAAGGTAAAAGAAAACAAATATTTTGCGACAAAATCATATATTGCACACACTAATACACAAAAATACTTTCTGTAATACAATATTGAGCACTAATATATAAGTTTTAAGCGACGGAAGAAACGGTATCCTCTTAACCATTGTTCAACACATCATAACTTCCAAAAACGACTAGGTAGTCGAGATCGGTTACAAACCTTTGTAACTTAAAAATAACACAATATTTACGACTTACATTCAAATGTCACATAAACAATAGAGAATGTTAATGACTACAAAGGTAGAGGAAGACCTAATATCGAAAGGATTATGTGATAGAGATTGAAGGGAATGCATTCAGATATCCAGCTGATAGATGTATGGACATACTGTGCTGACATTCCGTAGTTAAGGGTTTGATGATTTTTAAACTATATTGTCACTGAAAACAAGTGAGAGTCAAAATAGCGGGTATAACTTAATTCCGTTATAGATTCTAAATAGTACAATTAGTAGTAAGTGGTATAATTTCATTCGTTATGGTACACCCGCCATTTTGATTCTCACGAAATCAATGCCAGTTTTAACGCTACTAGGGTCGCGGGCAAGATACCTACAAATTTAGGGAGGAAAGCGAGATTAGAGTGTCGTGAGGATTCCTAAACATTTGGCAATCTTCTAGACGACTTGGCGTTCGCCTAACTAAGGCTAAGATCTAGCAACAACAGTCTTTAGATAAAACAAGGACTGCAGTGTGAACATTGCCTTAAGTTGTAACTATGAATACAGTTCGAAAAACACCAATTTTAACGCATCCGACTGTAATTACACTTAGTTGCATAAAAATTACACCAAATTCGTCAGTATTCAGTTTAGGATACCATCATCATGACCTGAGCTGGTTGGTCAATAGCTTGACAAAATATATTTACATATTTTGTCAAGCTCTTGACTTGACCACGAGTATGTGACCCCCCCGCTCGCAAAGCTGCATCCGCCCTGGCGTAACTGTCAGATAAGGGAACCAATACCGATATTTCCAACACATATTTTACACGTTGGAGTGTTATCAGTTACTTTAATAATTTACAATTTGGTGGGACAGGCCCTAAGTGAACTAACTCCCACCAGTCATTTGTTTCCGTAATTCCAAGATATGTGTGGAGTAAACGTGGGCAAGCGGTGACTGGTCTAATCACCCATAACTTCGTCGTAGGGGAGGTTTTGATTTAATACCTTCCGTCGCTCAAAAACCTAGCACAATTAACATTACAATAATGGCATAGCTATTTATTTGTATTTTGTACATACATTACGACAATCACAAATTTTACGTCCCAGCGACTAGACTAAGTAATATCTAGATTAAAATATTCCAAATAAAGGCCTAAATATCGCAAACGTCAATCGATATTGAGGTTATCTTTTATCTAAAGCCGTAGTACAGTCGGGAAATATGTCGGATACATCTTAACAGCCTTACAATTTTTTTTTTATGATACAAGGTGGCAAACGAGCAAGCGGACGTCTGAATTCACCGAAATGAGAAGCGACCGCTGCCCATAAACATCCGCAATTGCAGATGCGTTCTCTACCATTAATTGACGGTGGAGACGCACAAAAAGGCGACATTTTCCCTTCCTATGCGTCTCCTCCACCGTCAAATACACTTTTCCTTCCCATCCTTTCCTCTTAAGAAAAGGGTGGAAAGGAAAAGGGACTAAAATTAGGCCTCCGGTACCACACTCATCAGACGAAACGCGGAATTGCTTCCACTCCACGCCTGCGCCATTCGTGCGAAGATGTTAAAGCGGGCTCTACCACTGCAAATAAACGCGGTATAAAGTTTTAGTAGCAAGCAAATATTAGTACAAATTTTGCTTATACTCAGTTTATTCCTAAGCTTAACTTTATACCGCATTTTTTTGTAAGGCTGTAAAGTCAATCAATAGAACGCAGTTTTTAAATGTATACGATAATCGTTTAGTAATACACGTTTATTATTCTATCGTTTGTCCAACTCACTGCTCCCTGATTGGTTATGTACGGCGAAGTTTGCCTCGTTGCAAAACCAATTAATTTAAAAGGGGCCACCGCGAATTTTCGCGACTGTACATCAAACTCGATACTAGGGTTGTAACGGAACTTCGCTTCCGAACCCGTAAATGGGGAACTTCCTCAAAAAATAACTCCGCATCCGCTTCCGTTATTTCTTATGCGGAGTTATAACGGAGGTTAAGTTACGACTTTAACGAGAGTGGGGCGATTAGGTATTGTTTATGCGCGTTCGTGCCAGGTCAACTAACTATAATTGTCATACATTATATTTGCATAATAAACAGTATCTTGTGATTATGTACCAATCTGTATTTTGAATTAACCAGAATGTGTTGAGATTGAATGTGGACGGCTACAAAGGAAGAGGAAGACCGAAGAAAGTATGGATTGTGTAAAAGAAGATATGCTTAAGAAAGGAGTGTATTCAGATATGACTGATAGAGATGTATGGAAGAGCAGCACCTACTGTGCCGACCCTCCATAAGGGATAAGGGCAAGTGGATGATGATGTATTTTGAATTAACATAGTTTTAATTTTCATTTCTTTAATAAATCGCAATTAATATTCTATTATTGACCTCCGCTTCTGCAGAGGTGAAGCCCTTCGCTTCCGCATCCGCTTCCGTTAGTGTCCTCCGTTACAACCCTACTCGATACATTAAATTCTTTTATTTATTTCGTGAAACGTGATAGAATTGAGTAATATTGTATAAGTTATTAAAATATCAAATTTACGAGTTTTAGCATAACGCGTACTGTATATTTAGGCATTTTTTTGGAACAAGGCCTGTACAAATCACACAAAACATAAGCATAGAAAACAGTCTGTTACATCTATGGAAAACTATTGTGAAATACTATTCATAAGCGGGAATACACATGCCAGTATATCTAGTATCATGCCAGCTGGCATTTACATGAGCCAGTGAAATGTCAACTACTAAGAGAGGAGACAAGTTTCGTACGCTTCATCTCCTTTGCACATAACTGTCACAAAATTGAATAAAATACCTATGTGTATTGGCACAAGAGTGCTTGTTTCTTGCATGTGTATTCCTACCCTTAGGTTACATGTAGGGTTGTCAACTAATCGTTAATTAACAAACTTAAAACCTAACTGACAATTCGATTAATATCAAATTTTAGTACTGTCAGCCTTACAAATAAACGCGATATAAAAAACTTAGGAATAAACTGAGTATCAGCAAAATTTGTACTATTTACACACAGTTCATTCCTCAGTTTATATAGCGTTTATTTGTTAGGCTGTATATCTTTAAAAGTAGAGTAGCGGGGGACGCATAGTATGGGGAAATATCCTCTATGTCAGGGGTAGAACCTTCATGCATGTGCCATTTTTAATGTAATGCGGTCTTAAACATGCCATCATTTGGACTGATTATTACAATTACATAGTGCATAGTATACAATATCTGTACTATACTATATCTATCTATATGTGGAGGTACACCGGTAGAGATAGACCTAAGAAGAGATGGATGGATTGTTTGAAGTGACATGATCAAGGGAGTGATGACACATGACATATAATAGAGTTATTTGTAGGAAGAAAACCCGGTGCCCCGACCCTACAGTAGGATTACAATTACATAGTGCATAATACATAACACCTACTTCATAATTTTTCGTAGTGTTTTTATGACTATCATGCCCAAAATATGGTGTGCCATTTATGACAAGCATGCCAGTTTGCCACCCCTGATCTATGCGTTTCCCTGTTAAAGGTAATGCATCTGCAAATATATAGAGGTCACTTCACTATTTTGTCAAATTCTACCATTACAAAATCTGTTTTATAAATAAAATAATGTTGAATAAAACATAGAAATAATTGTGATAAATACAATCCACACAATAAACATTCCTGATATATAAAAAACTATTTGTTCTTTTATAACATTTCGTAATTCTTTAAAATCTCTACATCTATAAATATTGAAACATAATTTTTGACCGACTACCCACAAGTTTGTCAATTCAATTGATTTTCTCTAACATTTCGTCACAATTTAAAACTTAGATATATTTAATTCCAGAGTCAAAGTTAGCCTTGGGTTTGATTTTTAAGGGTATCCCTTTCTCATCATGACCTGAATACTAGGGATTTGGAATTTAATATCTGTAGCTGTTAACATTTACATAACATCTGTAACACTATACTATTATAATAAAGCGTAAACACACTTCTTTGTTGCCTAAGATGACAGCAATTGCAGCATATTTTTGAATAACTCTATTTTTAATAAAAACACTTACATCACGCTTTAGGCTATATTTTCACGCCATTAAACTTAGGGAGTAAATATTTTGGATTGAAACCTTAATGTGGGAAAGTGACCATAAGTTGCAGACAACATCAAGGAAGCAAGATTGCCAAGGTACGTCATGTCATGTCATTTTGACATTTGCAATTGATAATTTGACACATGTAAATGATAAAATTTTCATAATCTTATGCGGATGAAGCTGCAAGGGAACAGCTAGTAAATTAATATATACCCAAAGTTAAGAACCCCTGGTTACAGAAAACTTGACAGATATAAAATGCCAGCAACTAAAGGTGTTGAAAAACTATTGAAAATCAGTACAGTTAGGCAAAATCCACATTTTCAGAGGTATACTAGAAATAAAAAAGTCACTGAAGCTATAATTAAAATGAATTAAAAAGCTACATAGCCTCTGTCACAATTATGTCTCTTTTAAGATACAAGTATTATAAATATAGTTTTCATAACTTACTTTTAACTCGGAAACACAATTTTTTACAATTGAGAAAGAAAAACAAAAGCAACCAACTTGAATCTCAAAGAAAACTATATTTTTATAATAAATGTTAAACACAAGTATGTGATGATTACTTAAAGTAACAAAACATACAGAATATTAACATGATTTGCATTAAATGCAAGAGATCAGTAAAGCCAGGTCATCTAGCATGTACAGCACATCCCGTCAACGCTTGTCCAACTAACACCCTCTCTCCGGACTTAAATTCAAATTTAAAATCTTTCGGTGCTTCAAACAATAAGATTATCGTACTTCCCATATTAAATTGACCGAATAAATCACCTTTACAATACGATGTATTAATATTCAACTCATCGACACGATTCCTCTTGCCTTTCGTGTTTGTACGCAAGTTTGGATCGCTGTAAATCTCGATTGAACCAACATTGGTTGCTCCGACTGCGGTCATACTGAAAAAACCATGTTTCCACTCACCTATGTACACTGCTCTCTCATTCATTGTAAATAGACCGGGTATTAAACGCGCCATCCACGGATTTACAGATAAAAGCTTCCCGGAGAAATGTCTACGGAATTTGGATGTCCAATCGCATGGTGAATGGAATCTATGGTAATCTCCTGGCGCTAGATATATTATACATTGATGTAAGATGTTATTTTTATCTTTTAATAATGAATTGTAGTAATTCGGATCTGTATTTTCCGACCATTTGTTCTCACCGAGAAATTCCTCCAAGCTGTAAGTTACGCCTTTAACTTGCTCGATTTTATCTGTATCCGCTGGCCCGCAGTTTAAAACAACACCATCACATGGAGACACACAAATCGAAGGTGAAATGTACCGAGCACCTTCACGTAAAGGACGCGTAAAAAACGCCGATAAACTCTTGTAATATTTCAAATCTGTGACCGCAGCATCATTTAAGTTCACATTAAACACACGCACGTATGTTCCGTAGACGAAATTCCTAATTGAAGTAGGGAGTTCGCAGGCCGCGAGACGCCCCCATAGTCGACTTGTAATTCTAAACGGAAACATTTCGTAAAATTTAATTTCCACTTTAGACACTTCATAATTAACGCTAGCTCGTATGTAGCACCATCCGACGTACATAACACTCCCAAGAGGCACCCAGCGAGTTATTATTGCTCGTAAATTCATCCATTTTGTATTTGTAACAGTACTGGAAACCTTTGTTTGATTGTGATACGATGTTTGTCGGAACGGTCTGTGTGGACGTAATCGCTTGAACATCGGATTCATGACTGGAAGGCAGCTCTTTAAGCGCGTCGGCGGGAACATCTTACCCAAAGCTGCCTTCCGTCACCTTTAAAAATAAGAAACGATGTTTATTTGAACGTTTTTGCTAAATTGATTTGCGTACGAAATTTTACGATAACGACATGACACAAGGCCACAACAAAGATTATAAAAGCAGCCATAGACTCAAATTGTGACAAAAAAATCAAAGGGCCAATTATAGTTATTAAAATCATTTTTGATTATAAAAATCATGGTATCAACAATTTACAAAATTAACTACGTGGTGGAATGAATTTTATAAGCACGGATTTCAAACCTAATCGAATATTACCAAGTTTTTAAGTTACCGATTCTTCAACTTTGCTAGTTTAGGTACATCACTATTGCTTTGTATTTGTCAGCTGTCAATGTTACCTTAAGTTTGGGCTTGGTTCTACGCAAAGTGGATATTATATTGAACGAATTTATATAATTTCTCCACTTTTCCATTCGATTTTCACAATTTACGTGTTAATTAATATTACATTAGGGTTTAAATATCATGCATTACAAATATTATAGCGGGTAATTGGTGTACAAGTAGTGTAAAATACGACTTTAGTAGTTAAGTGATTTCATCTCAAGAATCATGTCTGTTAGTGAAAAAGTGTCTCTTTCGGATGCTTTAAGCAATGTAGACGTCCTAGACGAACTTACTTTACCCGGTAAGTACTAAATCATGTATTAAATCGACCGTAATATTACGTTTTTCCCAACATCCGGTGGACTTACGAAACATTCATAATATCTTTTTCACTGTAGTATAGATATTTTATCGTTCATAAAAGCATTTATAATTGCTATATATTAAATAGATATTTACACATAACATTGGAATTTAATAAATTAGCACATTTAATCATTTTGCACTTATTTATTACTAGCTGTTACTCGTGATTTCGTTCTCGTTAAATTGAAAAATAATAAAAAGATATGGCCTATATTACTCAGTGATAACGATTTATAAATTTAGCCTAGTAGTTTTTGAGTCATTTCAATAAAACAAAAATACAAATCTTTATAATAGTATAGGTAAATACATCTAATAGTGTGTTTATATAAAAATTATTTTGCAGATGAACAACCTTGTATAGAAGCTGCCCCTTGTTCTATACTCTATCAAGCAAATTTTGATACCAACTTCGAAGACCGCAATGGCTTTGTCACCGGAATTGCTAAGTATATTGAAGAAGCCACCGTACATGCTAATTTGGTAAGTTTCCTTTATTATTATCCTAGCTTACTTACAAGTAAGTAACCTATGTGTTCTTCCAGACTTAATAATGGTAGAGCCTGCTTTAACATCTTCACATGAGTGGCTCGCCCGGTGAAATACCATGACCACACAGAAGACAGATGTGAAGAGGAAGCAATTTCATGTTTCGTCTGATGAGTGTGGTGCTGGAGGCCCAATTTTAGTCCCTTTCACGTCCCACCTTTGCTTTTAAGAGAAGGATGATGAGGAAAGATGGATGGGAAAGTGGATTTGAGAGTGGAGGAGACGCTTAGGATGGGGAAATATCCTCTTTATGTGCTTTATGTCCTTCGTCGATTTAGGGTAGGCAATGCATCTGCAATTGCAGATGTCTATGAGCAGCGGTCGCTTGGCCATTTTGACAGATTTAGGTGGCCGCTTGCTTGTTTACCACCTTTTTGTATAAAAAAGACTATCCTCTACATCTATGACAATTATTGAGTTCTGTTCAGGAATTTAGAATACAAACTAACAAACATCTAAACTTTCACATTTATATTATTTGTTGAGAATGAAACTATTTATTGCATGTTAGTTATCTTTTTATTCATCTCCCTGACTTTACAACAACATGTTCCCATGGTAACCGCTTACACTTTTTATATCCAAAAAATGAAAATTATAAAACATGTCACAAATTAAAAAAGTTAATTCTCAAAGAATATTTACAGTATATTTACACGTAACATTATTAACAAGATTAGATTTATGTAACTACATTTTGTCCCACAAAATACCCACTAGATGTAGCCTACAACTACTTATGCCTGTAACTTTGCATGGAATTGAAAAAACCTTATTGAAAAAAAAAACAACATCTTTATTGATATCGTCATTATATAATAACAGATATTGCCTATGGTCAACCTCTGGTGTTGCGGATGTCTATGGGCGTCGACACCACATCTGTGTTCCCTCCACTCGTTTGCCCCCTTCCTTTATAAAAATATCATTGATAGATTTTTATAACATTTACTTGATTCAAGGTTTGTTATAAAAATAAAGTATTTTTCTTGGTAGCGCTGTATACACCTGTCATATGTATGTTCTGCTTTTATTTACCTTTGACAGCATATTAAATTTCCTTGTGTACTTTGCAATTAGTGTATCATTATATTTTTTTTTATATTATACGGTGGCAAACGAGCAAGCGGCCACCTGAATTCACCGAATGGAAAGCGACTGCTGCCCATAGACATCCGCAATTGAAGATACATTGCTTACCCTTAATTGACGGAGGAGACACACATAAAAAGGATGTTTCTCCTTCCTGTGCGTCTCCTCCACCGTCAGATCCACTTTTCCTTCCCATCCTTTTCTCCAAGAAAAAGGTGGAACGGGAAAAGCACTAAAATTAGGCCACCAACACCACACTCATCAGACGCGTAATTGCTCCACTATTAATTTCTGTTATATTCCCAATTTTCCAGAATGAACTTCTAGAAGAAGGGAATGCTCATGCTGTGATGTTATACACATGGAGATGTTGCAGTCGAGCAATACCTCAGCCGAGGTCTAACGAACAACCAGATAGAGTACACATCTACGAGAGGACGGTACAAGTTCTAGGTCCTGAAGTTGATAAACTACTGCAGTTTATGTACTTTCAGGTGAGTTATTACTAGCTGTTTCTCGCGACTTACTCAACATAAAATTAAAAAATATAGCCTATGTTATTCACTGATAATGTAGCTTTTTAATGGTGAAAGAATTTTTAAAATCGTCCCAGTAATTTTTGAGTTATTTCAAAACATATAAAAATACAATTCTTTCCGCTTTATAATATTAGTAGGTCCTAAGATTAAGATAGATATAGTTAAAAGTGTAAACTTCTCCGATCCAGTATATAAGACCCTAAGGCCCTGTCCCACCAAATTGTAAATTGTCTGATGACAATCCAACATCTAAAATATGTGATGGAAATATCGGATTTTGGCACCTTATCTGACAGTGACGTCATTTTTAAGCTATCTGATCCTCTATCAGCCACTAGTGCGACAGGCCCTAAAACTCTCAATCCATTATCAAAGTAGTATTTATGTATATAGCTATTATTTCCAGTGGAAATGATGTTTAAATTATTTTTTCAGCGTAAAGCGATAGAGCGTTTCTGTGGCGAAGTCCGCAGACTATGTCATGCTGAGAAAAGACGTGATTTCGTCTCGGAAGCGTATTTATTGACGCTTGGCAAGTTCGTGAACATGTTCGCCGTGCTCGACGAACTTAAGAATATGAAGAGTTCGGTTAAAAATGATTATTCTACTTATAGACGGTGAGTTTTTATATAAATGTTTCTTTCAGATATTTGTAGATATATGTCCCCACTGAGGGTATCGGAGCCAGATTATTCCCAACCGTCACCCCGCTCAGCTCCCGCGTGAGAATGAAAAGTTTCATTCCTCCCACCTTTTAGTTCCACAATCACCAATAAGGTGACAAATGGGACAGTAGAAACTTTTTATTCTCATCTGTTCCCACGTGGGGACAGAGTGTGGTGACGGTTGGGAATAATCCTCGGAGCCTATGTGACTAGGACATAGTCAACACTGCACTTTAAATATCTTAGCCACTCAAATATCCCCCATTTTCATTACCAATTTGAGTGTAGCGTCAATGCAAGTTTTTACAGAACCCCCCTTTTTAAGAACCCTTTTGGGGGTGGATACATCTCACATAGAGATTATAATATTCAGAAACCTGTGAAACCCCTACTGTATATTTCCCTGGGCGGTTACTAAATAGTACCCTAAACAATTGCCCATACACATAACTCACCAATATTTAAAACTAGATTTTGCTCGAGATTACGTCCTCGTAGAATTAAAAAAATAGCCTATGTTACTCACTCATAAAGTAGCTTTTTAATGGTGAAAGAATTTTGAAAAGTATTATCTCCCCTGTCTTATCCTACTCCCGTAGGGTTGGCGCAGTAGGATTTCGTCCTCCAAAGCACTCTATCATACGTCATCTCAGTCATCACTCCCTTCTTGATCATGTCACCATAGAATTTTGAAAATCCCAGTAGTTTTTGAGTTAATTCTACGCTAATTATAAACTACTGTTTGTTTCCAGAGCGGCTCAATTTCTTAAAGTAATGGCAGATAGCCAAAGTTTACAGGAGTCTCAAAATTTATCAATGTTTTTGGCGACACAGAATAAAATTAGAGACACGGTGAAAGATGCACTTGAGAAAATCAATGGTAAGTACTTTATTATAATAAATCTAGCTGCTCGCGACTTTGTCCACTTGAAAATGTAGACTATGTTACTCAGCGATAACATAGCTTTTTAACGGTGAAGGATTTTTTGAAATTGACCCAGTAGTTTTTGAGTTTATTAGTTACATAACAAAAATACAAATTATTCCTCTTTATAATATTAGTAAAAAGTAATATTGGTGAAAGAATTTCAGAAATAACCCTAGTAGTTTTTGAGTTTATTCGTAATATAAAGTAAAAAAAATATGTTAGTTAAGACTAGCTTTGTCTTTATATTTTATTTGTGGGATATAATTATAATTTATTTAAAAAAAACTATATTTTAACGTAGTTTTTATTTGTTTTTAGGTTATGAAGATTTACTTGCAGATGTTGTCAACATTTGTGTTCAGATGTACGAAACAAAAATGTATTTAACACCTTCAGAAAAACATATGTTGGTTAAGGTAAGTTTTAGATTATACTAGATATTGCCCGCGACTCCTGCACGGAATTAAAAAAAATACTTAGTAATATATGTGTTCTTCTAGATTATGTTCTATATCTGTGACAATTTTCATCGAAATCCGTTAAGTCGTTTTGGAGACTTGTTTATTTACTAGCTGTTCCCATGCGGCTTCATCCGCATGAAATTATGATTTTTTTTTTATTGTTTACATTTGTCAAATTATCAATTACAAATGTCAAACTGACATGACACGACAAACCTTGACAATCTTGTTTCCTTAATGTTGGCAGCAACTTATGGTCTCTTTCCCACATTAGGAATTTTATCCAAAATATTTACCCTCTAAGTTTATTGGCGTGAAAATTCATAGCCTAAAGCGTGACGTAAGTGTAGGGATTTTTATTAAAAAGAGTATTATTCACAAATATGCTGTAATTGCTGACATCTTAGGCAACCAAGAAGTGTGTGTTTACGCTTTATTATAATAGTAAAGATTTAACAGGAAAACTAGATTTAATTAATCTTCGCTTCTCGATATAGTAACAAACATCTGAACTTTTGGATTTATAATATTAGTAAAAAAGCATAATTTGGTGTTACATCTGAAAATGTTTCAAATATAACCACCAATCTAGAGATGTTCTATTTGAAAACATGTTCTAATATACATATGTTCTAATTTTAAACATGTTTCATTATTAAATTGTAACTTTTTATCATAAAATTATTAATTACTAGCTGTTCTCATGCGACTTCATCCGCAAAGTAATATAAAAAATTCGTCTTATGGTTCACATTTGTCAAATTATCAATTGAAAATGTCAAAATGACATGACATGATGTCAAATCATAGCAATCTTGCTCCCTTGATGTTGTCAACAACTTATGATCTCTTTCCACATTAGGGTTTTGATCCAAAATATTTACCCCTAAGTTTATCGCCGTGAAAATATATTGCCTAAAGCATGACGTAAGTTTAGGGCTTTTTATTAAAAAAAGAACTATTCAAAAACATGCTGTAATTGCTGACATCTTGGGCAACAATGGTGTGTGTACGCTTTATTATAATAGTATAGATAACAATATTCTTTTTTTTTAGGTAATGGGCTTTGGTCTATTCTTGATGGATTCTGAAGTTTGTAATATTAACCGTCTTGATCAGAAAAAGAAAATACGCCTCGACAGAATTGACAGGATTTTTAAGGTAAAATATTAAAATTTATTTTGATCTGTTTAAATTGTTTGTAAAAATGTCAATTCCTATATATCTTTAAATTAGGTCTTATAAGGGATGCGGCGATGAGGAGTCGAAATAAAACACTAGGTTTCACAAACAACGGGCACTGTTCGTTCGCCGGTCGACGTACAAGTTATATGCCGACCACCCTCAAATTTCACTTTATTTTTTTCACTTAAAAACTACCAACTGTTTTTACATGTACCTCGGTAGAAATTAGTAGTTTATACATAACAAAAATAATTATATAAAAATAATATAAAATACCATAAAAAGGCTTTTAAAATTCTGTCATCAACAGGTCTGTTTTAATAATCTGTGGCTTATAGATTATTCAAGTGCCAATAGCCTAATGGTTTGGAGTATGGACTACCCATCTTGCGGTCTAGGGTTCGAATCCCGGCATTCGACTTGTGACCATATCCTAGCACAAGCAATCTTAGTTGGAATGGTTAAAGGAAATATTAGTAAATTAACAAAATCTACTAATTTAAAAAAAAAAGATATGTGAAGTGGGAGTAATTCTGTGTTTCTTCTGCCTGCTATAGAATTTGTTTTTGTCCCCTTTTCCTTACCTGACTTTTCTTAAATAGTATGGGAAGAGAAACTGAATTTGACGGGTCTAGGGACATAGAAAGGTAATTAGGCTTTTTCAGTTTCCTCTGCCGAGGCAACGCATCTTTTGCGGATGTCTATTGTTAGCGGACGTTTCGCTATTTTGGCTACTTGCTCGTTTGATTTCTTATGATATATAAAAATATGTTTTTTAAAACAGTTTTGTATATCGTATTGTTTTTTATTTCAGAACCTGGAGGTAGTGCCTCTATTTGGCGATATGCAAATTGCACCATTCAATTACATCAAGAGATCGAAACATTACGATCCAAGCAAGTAAGTGACTTATGTTCCAAATGTACTGAATTATTCAATACTAGCTTTTGCTAGCGACTTCGCCTGAAATAAAAAGAAATAATACCATTTGTTACTCACAGATAAATTACCTTTATAACGGAAAAATAATTTTTGAAATCGGCCCAGTAGTTTTTGAGTTATTTAAATATATACAAAAAAATATTAACCTGTTCTCATCATAATATTAATATATATTTGTAAAAAAAAATATCTTGCATAATATTATTCTGCATTTTTATTTAAAAAATTTTATGTTTAGTACTTTTGTATCAGAAATAATATATCACTTCATGTTTTTTCTCCATTTTTTAATTTGAGTTATAAAAATATATTTCCAGGTGGCCATTATCTTCAAGCCCCAATCCACCATCACCTCAAGCAGACCTGATGGTCCACCTGCCTCAGATCAGAGAAGAACACCAGAATTACATATCTGAGCTCGCTAGATACAGTAATGAGGTATGTTCTGGTACAAATATGTTCTGTAAATCTAATCTAGAAATGTTCCAATTTACATGTACATTATATATAAACAAATATCAGATAAAATGTAAATAAATAATGTACTGATTTATTAAAAAATGTAAATTTAAATTTACCGATCAAGAAACGTTTCTAAAATACTAATATTAAAACAAAGATGTTCTAATATAAAAATGTTCCTACATAGATGTCCTAATATAAAAATGTTCCTACATAAATGTCCTAATATAGAAATGTTTCAGCATAGAT